GGAGATTGGGAATCTTTGTTTTGGACATGGTGCTTGCGCTAGGGAGAGTTGGAAAAAACGAGAGAGAATCGGTGGTTGTTGAAGAGTGTCTATGGGCGATTCGGTTGCCCAGGGGGTATCCTAGATGCGCCTGGCGCGTGGAAGTCGGGGTAAATGGAAAGTTTTGTAACGGATGTTATGCTGGATGGCCGTAGCGCGGCGTGGCGAACTGATGTATGTCTGCGCGTTGTGCGTCTTCTTGGCTTTCTATTTCTCTGGCTCTTTCTATCTGGTAAATGTCGGTAAACGGTAGTCGAGACGGCTTGGCAAGGGAAGCGAATGGAGGCGCGAGCCTGAGAGCTGTGGATCGGCAATGTTGAGAACTTGAAGAGAGACGAGCCTCCAGGAGTCCAGTGTCGAGATGAAGGGGACGGGGAGAGGTTAAAATGCAGTTGGTCTAGTTCCGGGGTGGTGTGGGAGGATGGTGACAAGGGAACAAGGTTAGATGACAGGATGGGGAGGAGAAAGAAGGAGACGTAGTCACGAATACACGATGAATGAGTGAATGTGTTTGGCAGGCGCCGGCAGCCCAGCAGCAACCAAATTGATTTGGGCGCGAGAGCGAGATTGAAAATGCCATTCGCGAAGTGGTACGTACCTCCGAGGCGCTGCGATGTTGTACCGTAAGGCACTTCGTACTTGGAACTTTGAAAAGGTATCTCTGTGTCCCCAACGAAGTGCAAGGTACTTTCAGCAGCACAAGGTACTTTTTTTGCAGTGGATCGTCGCGCCCCTTCCCCCAAAGCCTGAGGGAGGGTTCCATTGAGTACGTATCTACCTTACCTACCCACCTAGGCACGGAGTACCTTACCTAAAGTACCTTGCCTTGTGCAAGTGGCAGACGGGACGGGACAAGAAGTCTTTTCAGGCAATGAGCGCTGCTTGCTCCCGTCCAACTTGGCCAGAGGCGTTCGAGAACAGAGACACAAACACGACGTCGCAACGGTGCTGGTAGCAGGCATGATTTACCTTCAGGTGCCTTGGGGTGAGGTGGGTGGCACGGGATGGAACAAGGAAAAGGGACCAGAACAACCGCAAACGCAAACGAACCCCCGCTGCCCGCTATTCTCAGGGACCTCTTCTACCTATCGAAACGACGCTACTTCCTCTTCCGCCCCCTCCATCCACTTCCAGGCTTTGTCTGTGCCCCTCCAAAAAAGACCCTTGCCGGTCGCTGCGGGAGTCCAACGTTGGAAAAGAACTAGAAAGGTGGCGGAAGCTGCGAATCTGCTCAGCCACATCACCAATAATCTCCCTTCTTCCTCTTCCTCCCTCACTTTTCAACTTCAATTCAGCCCTTTCCTTTCAGAATCCGCCTTGTCCAGCCGCTGGCCCATGTCGCTCCCACATCCAGGCGTACACACGAACCACAGGCATTCCATACTCGAGCCACTCCGTGAGCCATGGACCCCAACCGCCTGTCCCGCAGTCGGCCGAGTGCCTTACTCAAGTTCCTTGTCTCTTCCCCTCTATTCAACCTTGCTCCAAAGTTCCAACAGGGCCTGAATAGGCGCAGCTCATATTCCCTTTATTTGCACGACACAGCAAGTCGAGGCTTTGGTCAAGGTTGTCGTGGCAGACGAGCTAACTCCCACTGGTGTTCAATATACTGAGGATCCTGCATACAAAGGGCGATGCGTCAGCTGGCCTGCGACTTCGCTTACCTTACAGCGTATCTCTCCGAGTCTGGCGCTGGCTTTCACGGAGCATTCTCTCTCGGGACCTTCGCTTTTGAACAATCTCGACGGTGTGACTGTATCTCATGAATCAGCGGCGACTCTACACGAAATGGCAGTCGCGAGTTTCGCCATTGCCGAAGATCTGGCACGGATCGTTGGACAGGTTCATCGTGATGCCTCCCACCACTACCACAAAAAGGTTGCATCGCCACGCCTGTGAGATCCAAAGGGAACCAACGGCCCGTATCTGCCTCTCTTCACGATACCACCAGCTGCTCGGGTCATGTCGTGTTATCTGCATCGGATGGTCTCACCGCTGCCTCTCCAGCGCACGAGAGATGCCCCTCTTGCTCTCCCGTGACAGGACCGAATCGTGTCAGCTGGGCTTTCCACACAGCAGATGGAATATGCAGCCCGCCGCCTTGGTCAGTCATCATTCATCCTCTTCCTCCTGCGGCGCGCGCCATACGAATGCGATGGGGACTTTTCATGCATGGTGATTGTAACTCCGCCTCAGCTTTTTCCACCCGCCTCAAAGAAGCGAAATGCCGCGCTGCAGATGCAAGCCATCCTACAATTCCAATGATATTATGCCGCGTCCCACGTACCTAAGGCACGTACGGCACGCAGGCTTCCACCCACCAACCCACCGGGCGTGCTTTTCACGTCACAAACCCCTGAGCAAGCCAGGCTCTCGGAGACAATTGGCTCACCGTCAGCGTTTGTATGGAAGATCGTCTGCAGCAGGCCTCCGATAACTGGGAATGCCTGAAGTGATTGGGTCGTATGGATTCTTACATCAGGCAAAGTTTAGATCGGATCCGCGATCTGCGCATACCGTTTCCGAGGACCAAACAGTATCTCATGCTTTTTCAACATACTTGTGTTGCGCCGGGGGGAGACCAGAAAGCATCTTGGGAATGAGTTTCCTGCTAATTCCATGGTTTTTTTTTCAGTGTGCTCTTACTGTAAGTTGTGATACAAGGAAGGCGGTGATGCAAACCGTCTCCTTCCTTTGTAAGTGCGATGGGAAAGTTATGGAATCGGAAGTGGAAAGAATGAGGAATACCCTTTCCCTGCATACTAGCCACCTTACCTTTCGGTAGAATCTCTTTTCCAAGACCAAAAGCGTGAAGTGATTACCCGTCTTCACCTCCAGTACACTTGCTTCTCTTCTCTACGCAACCGCGATCTGTAGACTTGCACTTCCTCTCCTCATACAACAAGATATCCATCTTCAGCCACAACGAAAACACCGCGACAACATGGCTGGCAAAAAGTCCGCCACGGCCGACCGCGGTCCAACTGCCATGCACAAGTATCGCGGCACTGGTTTCGAGGGTATACCTCATTGGACCACATTCGATCGCGGCTGTGCCTTGCTGACATGCTCTCCCAGAATTCTATGCCGACCCTCCCATGGCTCCTGCCGAAGCCCAGGAGGAGCGTGAGAACATCTACAGCCTGTAAGTGATTCGTGTCATCCATCGCTAGCTCCGGGCAATCACTGACGTGGGCTTACAGAGAGTTGACCTTTGCCGAGTAAGATTCTTCCTTCCTCGTTTGACTTTACAACTTCAACTAACGGACCAAAAGACGCATCCAATCATGCATTCAGCGCTACCGCGCTCGCCGCCGTCTGGGCGCTTCCGACCGGATCTTCAACAAGTACCTCTTCTTGGGAGGCATCGACACCACACCTCGCATGTTTGGCGGCAATGTAGATGCCGACCTCAAGGACATGACACCGGCAGAGAGACGAGAAGCAACGGCCATTGACACCGTCTACAGCTCCGGCGGTGGTGCGCGGTTTTACAACGACGATGATCCCGATGGCTGGGATGTCGACTTTGCCGGTGTAGTCGCGGGTTTTTGCTCCGAGACGCTCCCGAACGAGACGGCCTGGGACTACGCGCAGATGGGCAAGGCGGTTGGCCTGCTAGAGAACTTTCTCACCTATATCCTCCACCACGACGTGTGCCCAGAGTATGACGCCAATGTCAAAGAAGCTCTGGATCTCTGCCAAAAGGCCAAAGTCGACCTGCCGTTGTCTCATCAAGCTCTCCTCCGATTTCCTGGCCAATTCAATTTGGCGCTGTCGGAGCTGTTTTGCAATGACTTTTTCTTCTTTGGAGACGCCGAGGAATTCCAGCGGCCAATGGATTTCTCCCCTGAAGCGGTTTTCAAGGTTGCAATGGCAATGAATGCTACCCAGGAGCAGTTCAATGCCGTCGCTAATGGTCTGAAATACGGCACCATTGAGGTCATCGGCGAGGAGGAGTGCAGCGTCGAGATTATCTCCATTCACCGGCCGAATGATGAGGCGCACAGGCTCACACGGAGCATTCGTCTAGGCAAGGGACACCGATTCGAGCCCGTCGGAATAATCATCACGAAGCCTTGCGTCATTGAGGATGGCTACGACTACGGAGAGGACATCACTTTGTCTGATGAACAGCGGGACACCTTCTACCTGGAAGATTCAATCCTGCAGCGCCTGAAGCCAGGTTTCAAACTGCAACTCTGCGTATGCGAGCTCAACATTGGCATCAAGTTTGTGAAGCAGGCTCGTCAAGTTCTCGTGGAATGGTACACCTTCCTGCCGCAGAACCTCATGCGACACTACAAGGAGCCCGCACCTAATGAGCGCCCTGCCCCGTCGGCCATCAAGGAAGACGCGAAGACCGGCAAGCAAGAAGCTGTAACTAACTGACTACCGACATTGGTCTAGTACAAGAGTTATCGGCTGGCTGTCACTACGCGAACATCACTGGATTGCCCGTCTCATGGAAGATGACAGAGGTCATGGGCTAGGTGGACTATAAGCAAGAGGATAGCTTGAGGCTGAAAACGGGGCATTTCATTAGACTTCCCCCTAGGTAGCTACGTCACAAAAGCATGGGCGTTTCGGAAAGGTTGGACCAAGATACCCCGTTATAGAGACGAGTCTTGAGGATCTGGTACCTAGTACCTAGTGTATGTGAATGATACAGTGAGAAATCCCACCAGTGTCTCGCGTAAACTCGTGCAAAACGTTATTACTTCGTCAAACCACCCCAACTCCACATACCGACGGGTTCCAAACAATCCCCGCGCTCACAAAAACTAAACCAATTTATAAGAGCCACCAATGGAATAACAAGCCGGGCAAGCCTAAGCGAAGAAAAGCCAGAAAAGCCGGAGAAAAACAAGAAGAAAGCAGTCGAGAGAAATAGAGGATGGCAACGGCAGCAGTAGAGTCAAAGACCCTACAACGCCACTCTAGGATATCTCCATCCTGCTCTAATCCCGAGTCTGAATCTTGTTGTCGCCAGCCACGACCTCAGCATAGCTAGGCGGCACAGCACCATCGCTGCTTCCCTCGCCGGCGCCACCCTGCTGCGCAGAGTACTGCTGAGGCTGCTGCTGCTGTCTCGAGGAACCGCCAGCATTGTTGTTGTTGTTGCTGCTGTTGTTCGTGGTACCGTATCCGACGGCGCCGTTACCCTTGCCGCCGTGCTGCGAGGGGCGGGGCTGCTGGCGCGGCTGCTGGGTGTGAGGACCGTTGCCGTTGGGGCCGTTGCCGTGGACAAAGACGTAGGTGACGCGGCCGCCCTCGCGGTCCTGTTGCGGGACGGACTCGTATTCGTAGTCTGGCTCGGGGAATTTGGCGATGATGTACCAGGCGTGGATGAGGCCTGGGATGTAGCCTAGGAGGCAGAGGAGGATGTTGATTATTGAGTCTGCGCCGCAGATGCCGCGCTTGACCCAGACTGTTGGAGTAGATGTTAGTTTTGGTTCAGTTGAGAGTATGCGATTTGGAATGCGCGGATGGATGGAAATGTAATTACCTGGGAGAGGCGGGAAGAGGAGGGCCAGGAGGCCGAGGAAGATGTCTGCGGAACACATTTCGGCAGTGTGATGCTGGGATTGTAACGTGTGTAAGGTGTAGTGGTGATTGCAGAGAGACTTGAGGGTCTCTGCGGTGTTGATGCTTGTAGTAGTCTAAAGTCGACGCTTTTGCAAGAAGATGTTCTTGCGCAGAAGTTACAGGTGGGTGGCTGAATGGGTGCAAATAAGGTGACGTTTGCGCCTCTCGCCTCTCAAGGTTTCGGTCCCGCGGGCTCAGATCAGGTCAGCAGGCAGCGAAGCAATTGAGCCGTGAGCCGGTACGTAACGGGTCGTAAGGGTGGCGGAGCTGGGATGACTGGTGAGGCGTGGGGGACTTGCGTAATGGTGCTGGTTAGGTCCGAGGTAAGACGGCCAAATGATTGGTTGCTGCGGAAGAACATGCGGCCGAGGCGGAGGCAGCCGGGGGATGTGAGGTGGAGCTTGGGTTCCTGAGGGGCATCACCGCACCGGGGTGGATCCCTGGATCGCGCGCTTTTTGCCGATGTTTCTGGACTTTTGCGGTTGCTTCTTACGGTCATGCGCCTCGACGAATCCCTTGTTCATTGATCAAGTCTTTCTTGAAAGAAAAGCTTGTATCAATACGCCTGAATCACAGTCTTACTTCTTAAAATATTATAATACGCACCGTGTTTCCAGTCCCGCTAGCTGGCGAATATGCAGGAACATGGAAGCCGCATGCGACAGTGACGACGGCCCTGGGAATCGCTGCCCCGCCGAATAAACCCCCGCCAGGTGTGGGAAGCTCCCGCACGGACCATCCCAGTATCCCCAGCCGTGATGTCAAGGTCCCCAATTGAAATTCCCAATGGGCGCGTTGGCAGTGACTTTCCACGCGACTCAAGTTGCTGCATCTTTGACGATTCCTCAACCCTCCAGAGGTCGCAACGCCCCTTATCCTCAAGACCCGACATCCTATGATCATAAGATAATCTAGCCATGTCGATCCCCGGCTTGGGCCACCTTGTGGCGCCAGTAAGCAAATAAACACCGTCTTTCTCTTGAAACCACACCATCCAGAGAGCTCGAGAACCGCCAGCTAACACACACACCCTCCACCAGCAACCGACGTCCGCGAACCAAACCCGCACAATCCGCCTCCAGCCCTTCTGGGAATGGCGCTTCCAAGTCGCCTTCGACACCCAAATCACCCTCAAACTCCTCTCCGGCACCGCCGAAAAAGACGGCACCGAGCTCGCCCTCCAGCACATCTACACCTTTGCCGGCACCAGATCCAAGATCCTCACCCTGCAGGGATGCGAGCTCGAGGTCGAGGGCGTGCTGGCTGAAGAGTCCGTCGCAGAGTACGCCAAACCACAAGACTCCCCCGCCAACTCGGTCCTGAACCTGCACTTCCAGCTCACCGCCATGCGCCAGCGCGCCGCCGCCGAGAGGAGGGAAGGGCCAAGGATCGCCGTCTGCGGGCCGCCGACGACGGGGAAGACGAGCCTGACGAGGACGCTGACGAGTTATGCCGCGCGGGTGGGCGCGCAGCCGTTGGTGGTGAACACGGATCCCAAGGAGGGGATGCTGAGCTTGCCGGGGACGTTGAGCGCCAGCGTCGTCGGGTCGTTGTTGGATGTCGAGGCTGTTGACGGGTGGGGTACGACGCCGACGAGCGGGCCGAGCCAGGTGCCGGTGAAGCTGCCGCTGGTGTACTACTACGGCCACGCGAGCTCTGAGGAGGACCCGGCCAAGTACAAGGAGCTCGTGAGTAAGATGGCGGCGACGGTGACGTCGAGGCTGGGGCAGGATCCCGAGGTCAAGGGGTCTGGCATGATAATCGATACGCAGGCCGTGACGGAGACCAACCAGGTTGGCATGGAGAACTTTGTGCATGTCGTGGAGGAGCTCTCAGGTATGATTCCCATCTTCTCTATCGATGGTCTGATGTGCTGGCACTGACATGGTAGCAGTCAACATCATTATTGTGTTGGGCTCACCAAGTCTCAACGCCGAAATCACCAAGCGCTTCTCAACGGAAAGGACTAGCCTCGGCGAGAATTACAGCATCCTCCTCTTGGAAAAGTCAGAGGGCGTGGTTGAGCGCGACGTGGGCTACACACAGCAGGCCTGCGAGGCGTCCATTAAGGAATACTTCTTCGGTAGCATCGGCCAGACGCTGAGTCCCGCCACGCAGCAAGTCGACTTTGATAGCCTGGCGATATACAAACTAGGAGATTGTACGTGATCACCTCGCACCCCATCGTACAATCCCGCCCAAAGGTCATGCACAATGTTTGCTAACCTACTTGGCCATGATCTAGATTCCATGTACGGCGGTGGCGCCGACGAGAGCCTGATGCGCGTGGACCCCGCACAGGTCATGGCCCATTGGACGCTGGCGATCGTCTATGCCTCAGTCAAAGACTCACCGGAGACGATACGGACGGCCAACGTGATGGGGTACGTGTACATTGCCGATATCGACAAGGAGAAGCGCAAGTTGAGGATCCTGGCGCCGGTAAGTGGTCGGTTGGGAGATAGGCCGCTGTTGATGGGCAAGTGGCCGGAGCCGTTTATCAACCTATTGGGATAGGATAGTTTCAATGATACCACTTTACACCGTCACTCCTACCGAGATTTTTGTTGTCTCTTTTCTCCTTAGTAGCCTCGTTTTATGGTATTCCAAATCGTTGGCATATCAGGCTCCATCACGGCTTGGCAGAAGGACGAGCCAGCTCTTCTCATTCACCTTCCGTTGAGCAAACGATATTCCAAGACCTAAAGGGTGCGGCTCAGCTAGCCTCCTGTTCTCATGAACGCCGAAAACCAATCACTCCCACGTCATGGAGACTGGTCAAAATCCGGTTGAAATTCATGACTAGTTTTGGCCTAGTTCCCTAGTCCAGATGTGAGACATTGTCCCTCTATCGAGTTAACCTTGAGTCTCCAGCAACCACCGCCGACAACCACAAGACAGAGTTGTGAGTTGCACAGTTGCATTGTCTTGGCCAATCTACATCTACGTGGGGCGCCACCAACGCAACCTTAGACACCCTCTTTCGCCCGATGGATGTTTCGGTCAACTGTCCAGTCACTAATCGGAGTGTGCCATTGGTTGCAATTTTTCCTTCGCCGGGATATATCGCAGTGGTCAAAGCCTGACTACCTGGAGTTGTGGAGGAATGACACACACGTTGAGGGAGAATACTGCTCAATCATTGTGTTCGATATGAGTTGCCTTCGGCCTTCGCAACCACCTCGAGTACTACCCAGGATAGTGACTAGACTTGGATGAGTTGTCCAGCGCCACTAATGGAACTAGTAACCACTTTCCCTCTCCAGTTTCGCAACTTTTTACGCCATGTCTTATACTTGAAGCAAACATTCCATAACTTCAGCAGCTACTCTGTGAGTTTTAACAGCTTTTTGCCACTGCTCAACTCGACCCAGGACTGGAGCCTCGAGTCTTTCGAACCCTCAGTAAATAGTCTTGGGATCACAACTCACGCGGCCTCAGTCATCCTCCAGAGCTCAATAGCTTTCGGGCGCCATGTCTCAGAGCAAGAGCAAATATTACACCTTTGCAGCAGCTTTTTTTCAACTTGGCTTGATTGGGGCTACATTCTGCGAACTCAACAACCCCGCCTTCGCTGAATTGTATAGGCCTGGAGGAAAGTTGTAACTTGTTATTTTCATCAAGCGCCATTAACGATGGTAGAATCCCCCTTTCTCACGATCAAGGGCCACCACATGCAGGCGCCATGTCTCGAGATCCCAGCACCCATTGTGCCTTTCCATCAGCCAGGCTATGAAGTGGTCCCGCAGCTCCTCACCCTGTAGAACCCGTTCTGGAATGCGATGCCCCATCCTCGAGTTGCAACTCGGAATGGAATTGGTCCACGTCCAAAACCACAAGGGAATATCATAATAAATAGAGGGTTCATCACCCTCCCCCCTCCCTTTCTACGTTGCTCTGCCAGTGGGGAACTTCGGACGTGGGTATTGAAATTACGCTGGCCCATGCCCGTTAACCTTTCCGATTTGTCAAAGTTGTTGTCACCGCTGGAAACTCAAATTGCTTTCATTCCAATTCCTCAACCGCCTGGTTCCAAACATGGTGACGTTTACATCGCTCCTAAGGGGGCGGGTTGAGTTTGAATCTGGATGTCAACAGCAGCAGCAGCAGCAGCAGCAAAACCACCAGCAGGAGAAGAAGAAGAAGAAGACACCCCCGAAAGTCGACGTGTACAATCTCCACCCTACGGGCTGGGAATCCGACCCGGAAGACGAATACCACCGCCTCTGCACGCTAGACTACTGCTCCGGCACAATCTACTGCGCCTACGCTCTCTTCTTCAAAGTCGACCCGGGAGCAGACAAGCACAGGATCGTCGAGGTCCTCAAGCAAGGGCTCGAAATCACGCTCAGCCAGTGCCGTCGCCTCTGCGGGACGTTGAGGGAAGATCCCGACGGCGGGAGCGGCCTGTGCTTCCACAAGAGGCGCGAAGACACGGTTGAGTTTCACGTTCAATGGCTCGACGGTAGCAGCAAATCCCACGATGACGACGGCGAGGATGGCGCCGCGGATCAAGAAGATGGGGGTGATGGAAAGTACCCCTCCTACGCCGACTTTGAACGCCAGCACTTTAGCACCCGCGCCTTCGGCCCCGATCTGAACCTATGGTGCGTCCCGCCCATGACGCCCGCCGAAAAACCCGCGAACAGGCCAGAGAATCATCCCAAGGCGGCGTCCTTCAAAGCGAGCTTCATCCCCGGCGACGGGCTGGTACTGATGATGATGCACCACCACTTGGCCAACGACGTCAACGGGTGGGCGGGGGAAATGCACCAGCTGGCCGAGAACTGTGCCGCCATCTGGGCTGCGTCGGCGTCGGATGCGGATGCGGGTGCGGCGGCCGCTGCCGGTGGTGGTGGTAGTAGTAATAATTTTGGTTGTGTTGGTGATGCTACCTCGACTGCTGCTGCTACTGCTGCTGCGCCACCGGAGCTGCCTCCGTGGGACCCCGCGTGCCTGGACCTCTCACGCGTCACGGTCGCGGACCCGCCCGCTGACCAACTCGTCGACGGGCCACCGAGACCGTCGCGGCATCCCGAGCAGAGGGCTGCTTCGAGGTTGCTTTTCCATATCCCGCGCAGTAAGCTGTTTGAATTGAAGCGGTTGGCGACCCCGGCGCTGGCTACGCATGGGAGCAGCGACAGCGGCAGCAACGGCAGCGACTGCTGGATTTCGAGCTACGATGCGCTCAATGCGTACCTGTGGCGCGTCCTGGTGAAGCATAAAGCCCGATTACATAAACCTGACCCCAAGACGTTGGTTGAATGGGTTGAGGCTGTGGATGTGAGGAGGCGGTTGTGCGATGCGTCGGGGAAGCCTATGCCGGCGCGCACGCAGGGGAATGTGATTGCTGTTGCTATCGCGTCGAGGAGTACTCATGTTGTGCCGCAGTTTACGATCAAGGAGGTCGTTGAAGATGCACCTTTTAGCAAGCTTGCATGGTGAGTTTTCTTTGTCTTGTTGCTCCCTCTTTTCCTCCACGCGTATCCGTACTACCAACATCCGACTTGTACTGGACCAAAACACGACGAATTGACAGACAGCTAATATTCTTTCCAAAGGTACATCCGCCAACTCACAAACAGCATAACCCCGCCCACCATCGACGCAATGCTATCCGGCATCGCCCGCGTCCGCAACAAGCTGACCCTCTACGCCGGCTCCGACGTCTTCCCGCCCACGACCCTCCTCGTCACGGACTGGCGCGACGCGGACCCGTATACCGCGGATTTTGGCTTCGGTCGCCCCAGCGGGTTCCGGTGTCCGTGGGACTCTGTGACGGGTGGGCTCGTGGTGGTGTACCCGCCGCGTCCTGCGAGGATGAGTCCCGGCGGGGATGACGAGGGGAACGAGATTTCGTTGGCGGTGGAGAGGGAGCTTGTGTGGGATTTGCTTGCGGATCCGGAGTGGAATCGGGTGTTTGAGTTTAGGGGGGTCGAGGTTGAGGATGAGTGATGGGCAGGGAGTGTTGCAGAGGTCAGGGAGAGGAGCGGGATTTGGTGTTTCTACATCATGCTTACAGATGGTTTCTTATTGGGTTTTGTGATGGGCACATGCCATACAACCTTAGTTCCCGATACTTGGGAGATAGCTTTACGATTTTCGTGTTATTTGTTACTGTTATAGTGGACTTTGTTCCTAAAAGCTTTCTCATTCTCATGATGCGCTTCTGTGGGATCTACGGGATCCATAGGAACCAGCACTAAGAAAGGATGGAAACCAAATTATCTAGAGGGAAAAAGTGAGCAGGCCGGCCATAGAAGAGGCCAGCAAAAACGACCAAAAAAACCAAAAAGATAACCCGAAGAGTGGCTTTGCCAATCGCGGTGAGGATTTGAGCCTCACGCGGGGGTCGAACCCGCAACCTTGAGATTAAGAGTCTCACGCTCTACCGATTGAGCTAGCAAGGCGGGTTATTAATTGTTAAAGAGAATGGCTCCGGGTGGTACTAAGGAGAGAGGCGGTTGGCTGTGTGGCGTGTGGGCGTGGGTAGGGCTGGCTCTGTCGGCGAGCCCGAAATCTCGATGGCTTCGTCCGTGAAAAATTTTCTCGCGTCCGCCTGCTCGGGAATTGTGGACCAATTCGGGGTAAGGCTGGGTGGGCTCCCAGTGTTGGAGAATTGTGCTCCGTGCGGAGGAACCCACCCGGCCCGTCTTCCATGGATCCGGCCCGGACGGATTCCTACTCGAGTCCTTGGCGTTGGCTTAACCAGAGCCAGGCTTTCTTCCATACACCACGATCCTGCTCGAGTCAGTACTTTTCTTCCACTTAATAGCCATCAGACGACTGGTTGTGTAGGAAAAGGCAGCTCACATGGGCCAGTATGCATGGATACTCCGGTCCCCAACATCCTTCCTTGCTTGCGCGGCCAAAACGTTGACTTCGTCAGCCTTCCAGCCCAGCCCGCGCGTGAGCGCTGCCATGAGGAACCCTTGCAGACCGGTCGTGATGTTCTCGTAATTCCAGGCGCCGAGCTCCTTGAACTTTGCGTTTCGCGGCCATGTGTTGCTGGGCCACTTGAAGCGCAGCTCCGCCACGTCAACGAAGCCGGCGGCCTCTAGCATAGGCTTGAGCGCGTCGAGGTCGACAAAGGCGCGGTTCGTCTTGGCTGCTGCCTCGCCAAGGTGCTTCATGGACTGATAGAGAGCGTGCTCCTCTTTCAGGGTGTCGTCGTCAGAGAGGGGTAGGCCGAATTCCTGGAGCTCGAGCCAGCCGCCGGGGGCGAGGTTTCTGTCATGATGCATCAATGCCTGTCTAGCAAAAGGAGAAGTCATGCCTGCGATTACTCATAAGACTGGCGGATGTACTCCTCCCACTTTGAGATGCTAGAGTTCATCATCCGGCTGTGGATGTAGTCGAAAGGACGCGAGTACGTCCAAGTGTCCTCGATGTCGTCGACTTCAAACTTGACGTTAGGTGGTACACTGTATTCTCTGTCAATGTCATGAATGTGGTAAAAGCGGTTAGCGATACTGACAATTGCGGTTGGGTGGGTGACAGATCAACGCCGGTGACCTGCAATATCAGCGTAAGAAGGCCATAGGCTATACTGATGTGTCAACACCAACCTCGGCCCCGGGATGCTCGTCTCCAAAGTCCATGGCCCAGATGCCTGTTCCGGTTCCCAGGTCTAGTACGCGGCCAACGTTGGATTCGGGCCCATTAGGCGGTGACAACCCGAGTTTCCCATCGAAAGAGAGGTCAAAGATGTGGTGTTGAAGATCTTTGAGTGTCAATTTAGAATCAGTTCTAAGAATGGAGAAGGTGACCACCAAAACTGACCTAATCTCTCGTTTTCCTCTTCATCATTTGGAAAGTGATACTCTCCTAGGGTGTCAGTGAAGGATCAAGGGGTTTGTAGGCTCGGCATCACTGACTCCCATCGCGAAACTTGTGATAGGTGCGGCCATTTTCTTTGCGATAGTCGAGAATCGAGCTGCTCAAACTCGCGGTCGAGGAGGTTCCGTCCTGTAGCAACCATCAGCCACGAAATGACTTTGACGGGGATGACAAGGTGTCGAACATTGCTGACATCTCCCAGGGACGAGTCATTGTCATTGAACTCGTCCGGTTCCACCACGACGTCGTGTGCTGGCGCAGCCATATTCAAGAGACTTCGACTCTTTGATCTGAATCCTTTAGACCATGAGTATGGGCTCAGTGGTGAAGCAGAAGCAATTCAAACTCGACACGAAGATGGAGGGGCGCGAACAATCCCACAGGCCAGCAAGCGGGGTTCTCCTGGAATGTTGGGATACCTGATGTCACTAGGTACTCAGGCACCCTGAGGGAGGGGGATTCGACTGCTTCCAGCGGGCGACATGTCTTAGCTGACATAGGCCGAAGAATCCAAAGATGGGATAGGGCGACACTAGGGCGATGCAGCTTAGAGGTGCATCTTGAGAGGTGTCAAAATGCAGGTTAGCCGTTGGGACGATTCCGGGAGCCAGGTCAACACCACGGATGCGCTGGTAGACCCTGGGCGAGATGCTGCAAATGGTACAATTTCATAGGTCGTCTTGGGTTCTCAAGGGATTCAATGTTACTGAAGTCCGTGTCGTGGCCCAATCAGATGCACCGGGGGGAGTAGGGAAGGATGCAAGCCGAAAGCCACTTTGCATGGCAATCCAGTCGCTGCTGAGTTTTGTACATTGAAGTTGCCGGAGCATTCACCGCCTGAGAACATGCTCAAAGGTTACAGGAGCCCGAAGAGCAGTGAAGAGTCTCTGTCGAGATTGGACCAGCCCGCGTTCACAAGTCGCTCTCGGGTGATGGTATTCTAGCGGTGTTCTGGGATGGCTGGTCATCCTTTCTTCGGCGCTTTCATCGAGGAGTCCGGCCGATTGCTTCCGAAGTACTCGTAATTTCATATCCTCCGCTATGATCCCGCTTCCTGACAACGCCGGTGGATCGGTCCGATGTTGGATTGTGACTGTCAATACCATACGTCCGTGGAAGACTCTCGTGATCCGGTCCTGCATCGGGCTGGTGGCTACTATGCGACATTCGGCTCTGCGGAAAAGAGAGAATCCGCCAAATTTCGTCTTGGATGAAGACGTAATCGGATTCTTCGCGCGGTAGTCTCCCTATCATAGCCTCTAGAACGAAGGTCGGCGATGAGATGAAGATGCGGTTCTCAATGGAGTGTCTCGCCCGGGACCCAGTCGGTGACGTGTGAGAAGATAAGATAACGATAAGACGATACCTTACACTGATTAGATAAGAGATAAAGTAAGCTTCACTGGGACGGCAGGGGCCTTGAATCCCGAAGCTGCCAAAAGAGCACTGAACAGGAGAGCCCCTGTGCTGTAGGAAAGTCAATTCCTCACAGGGCACCGCTTGGCTGATCCTCACAACTTCGCGAAACTCTGCTGAACATTTGGACATTCAACGACGTCTGTCTTCTTCTTGGCACTTTTTATCAACAATGCCACGGGAAAATCATCCGTCTCGAAAGATGATGTTCAACACTGAATTCGGCATAGCAGTTAGCCGCCGCGGTCCTTTTACGTCACGTCGTGAAGCAACGTTACTCGAGGCTGCCCCTTTCAAGGATCGCGTGGCAGCATCACGGATTCCCAAACCTCCTTTTACGAAATGTGAACACCGCACTGCGAGGCTTAGACGAGGCATTACATATGGCCGTACTGGATAGCATTCATGCTGTGAGGCGGGCCAAACATCCATCCGCACCATGTCCTCAGACTGCGACTTCTCCCACATTCAACCCTAGGGAAAATGGGGTTGGATTTTGGGTCACCGTGGAGTCGAATCCTTCTTCGCGAATAATAGGAGACCCTTCGCTTCAAACGGCCCATGATGGGACAGACCACACCGAGCTGACAGCCTCTCTCGTTTCGCAATGCTGGTCTAAGCCAGACCAAAGAAAACAGACGAATGAGCTGCCATTACGGGCTTGGGCCATACTACACCTGTGAAGATGGGGAAACCTGGATCGTCGGAAGATCGTGGCAGGGGAGAGCTCGCACGCAATGCAGAAATTCTACAGCGACCACAATTTTCTTCATCTCCTCTCCACCGAGGCAGGTCGACGACTGTCTTTCTCTAGCTGGCGGTAGCCCTGGTTCAGGGGCTCGAGAGCGCGTTTAGGCCCGTTTGCCGTTCTCCGATGTTTCGTCCCATCCGAAACATTAGCACGACAGGGACGGCCTCGTCTGCGACCCAGTTCTCCAACCTCAGCCTCGACAACCTCACTGGTCCACGCCGCGCCATGGTCTCTGATCATCTGGTCTCATGGGGTTTCGACGGCATCAGGATCGCCGGGTGGCGGTCCCGAATCTTGACAGCACTACTACGCAACGAAAAGAGAAAGATGTTGGTCATTCAGGTTGCGATTTCTGGTTGCTCACTTGCTCAGCCTCAGTTGCAGAAACGTGCCCCTGTGACAGACCTGCGTCGCATCTTTGACTGACCTGCTTGACAGACGGGAGGCATCAGCAAGCGCGGAGAGCCCTGGCAGACGTGCAGGAGTGTTCGGATTGTTCTTTTATCGTCAAAGATGGAGAGACGGGGAACATACTTAAGATAGCAGATGTTCGCGAGCTAGATGCGAATCTCATTCAAAGGGACAGCATCAGTCACTTACTTCTTGTTCTTGTATTCTTATACTCCAGTACTTTGACAGTACTTCATTCTCTTCTTACTCTCATTATTACACCATGGTTCGCTTCTCCCTTGCCGCAGCATTCTGTAAGTTCTATCCCTCGCACGTCCCGCTGTTACTCTACTATCCAACTCGGTCTGACATACCCCAGTCGCTGCTTCTTCCCTTGCAATTCCCAGTCCCTTGACACCAGACCCATCTGGTGATAAGAACATCGGCAATGGCAACGGCGTCCAGTTCATCGGCGGCGCTTGCCTCAACAGTAAAGACTGCGCCTCAACCTGCTGCGCGACTCTAAACGGCGCCGGCATTTGCTCTGGACTTGGAGCCCAGTTCCAGGCAGGCAAAACAGGATGCGGCTTCGGTGATGGTGGTGCTGCTGCAGCACCCGCCGCGTCCCAGGGAGCAGGCCAGGCCGCTCCGTCCATGGAAGCCGCCGCTGGAAGCGGAGGCGGCGCAGGATCAGGGACATCTTCGAACGTCGGCGCCGGTAACGGCCAACAGTTCATCACTGGGCAATGTCTATCTGATGCGGATTGCGCCTCGGGGTGCTGTAACGGTCCCAAGGGTGCTTGTGCCGCCAGAGCCGTCGCAACGGAGAATGGCAAGGCAGGCTGCGGCTTTACGGGCACGGGAGCGGGTGCCGCCACTGGCTCTACTGGAGGCGGCACGGCGGCTGAGGCTGCCGCTCCGCCCCAAGCTGCTCCGTCCGTGGGTACAGGTGCAGGTTCTGGCGCTGCTGCTGGCACCTCTGGTGCTCCTGGCTCACAGAATGTTGGCAAAGGGAATGGTCAGCAGTTCATCACGGGTCAGTGTCTCTCGAACGCGGACTGTGCTTCCGGCTGCTGTGCCGGGCCTAAGGGAGTTTGTTCGGCCACGGCGGTTGCTAATGAGAGTGGAAAAACTGGATGTGGATTTACGGCGGCATGATTTAATGACAAGCTTGGGGACTGGTGCGGTTACAACGCATTCAGACTGCCTCGGGGTGACCACTTTCTGTACAAAATGAGACAATGCTTTTAAGGAGTGCTGCTACAGCTCGTATACATGTGAGAGGAAGTCCATGATTTTCTACTCCAGTAGTCTAGCAAGGAATTGGGCTGGCATCATCACACTACTCATTGCACAAAAAGTTGGAAGTGTCTCATACACGCTTAGAACTTTGGATTGAATGATGTCGTAAAATTTGATTTGACTATGCTATTAGAACACTTATCGAAAGTGTAATGCTCGTGAATTCGCTAATGTGATCTCTCAGTATCAAACTGGATCAATCCTTCCTCCATGCCTTCTCACCGAGCCAACGAGTCAACTTGACAGCATTTACATCAACTATCCGATTAAACACATCGCTTGCCCACAACAGAGCCAGTGTGTTCACCAGCGATCCCCAGAAGAACGCAAGCTCGTAGGCGCCCCAAGCCTTGTTCACCATCTCAGTAGCACCGGCGGTGTTCCCGCCCTCCGTGAGCACCTTGGCCTGGGCACCGGCAAGCGACAACGCGCCATGCGCCGGCGATAGCCACCTGACTCCCACCATGTGGTTGATGGCGCCGTGCCACAGGTACAGAGAGTAGGAGATCTGTCCGAGGTACTGCGCGAAGCTCGTGGTGAAGGGGCGCTGGAGGAGCGGTTCGGCTATTTCTGGTTCGGGTTCCGTAGAGGAGGAAGATGTAGCTGCTGCTGCGAGCTCTTCCTTTTCGTCGTCGTCGAGGTCCGGGGTGGTTTGGTGCCAGGGCAGACGGATGTTGCGTCCCCTGAGTAGCAGGGACTTGAGGTTGAAGGCAACGGGCGGGGAGTACATCAAGCCGAAGATGAAGATAATGGCGCCGATGGAGTTCCAGTAGAGTTGGGTGCGGTCGCCCATTGCTTTGTAGTAGTCTGGCACCCATTGCGAGATTGTGATGAAGCCCGGGGTTGAGGCGCCGTAGTACTCTGGGTAGGAGAAGAGATGCAGGCCGAGGAAGAAGAGGGCTAGTGTGCCTGCGTGGCGGAAGATGAGGATGGACTTTGAGCCGTATCTCTTGACGACGCGCAGTCTGTAGCTAGGAAGCTGGTCTTCGGGTGGTTCTGTCGTTGGGGCGGTGTTGGGCATGATGATGGAGAGCTCTGCGAGGAGAAGTCCGGCGCAGAAGAGAGCCTGGTCCCAGTCGCCGATGTGGACCAGCCAGAGGGTAACACCCGTGACACCAACCATATGAATCCATCTCTTGGCTCGCGCAAAGATGAGCAAGAGGAAGAAGACGAGCAGCGAGCCTTTGAATTCGACGGGGATCGTCCAGAGATGCCCGTCGTACTCGCTTCCCTTCATGTTCTCCCTGTTGACAATCGCTCGGAACGGGTTCATCAGGTTGACCGTGCTCCAGAACCAGTGCTGCAGCTGCTGGTCGAGACTCGGGCCCCGCGGCGGTACAGGTGCTCCCGAGGGATCTCTAATGTACTCTCCACCATACACCAGGAGAGCGATGATGAAGGTCGACGCAAAGATGGGGAGGTACAGCCTGAAGGGGCGGCGGAAGGCGGAACCGGCTAGGGCACTTAGAGCCTGGCCCATCTTGCGCTTGTGGATCATCGACACGGTCTTGAGGGTGAGGACGAAGCCTGAGATGACGAAGAAGACGGTGACACTGGCGCGGCCAGAGTGCAGGGCCCGGACGATGGGCATCTGCCAGAACATCTGGTGGCCCGCGAAGCCGTAGCCCCATCGGAGGTCTGGAAACCAGAGGTAGGAGAAGTGAAAGATGTAGACCACAAAGGCTGCGACGCCGCGGAGGCCGTCTAGGTATGCTGTTGGGCCCAACTTTCTGGGCTTTGGTCGCTGGCTCGGGGCTGTAGTAAAGTAGTTGAAGGGGCTGATGAAGAACGTAGGAAGGAAGAGGAAGATGAATGGCTTCAAGGTGGTGAGGAGTGTGAGGAGGCGGTCTGTCCATGTCAGGTCGCCGCCGAGGTGGAGGTGTTCGTTGAGGAATGAGGATACTGAATTCCGTGCGGATCTCACTGAGATCAGGAAGGGGTATTCGCGCTTCTCAATGTCGATGATCTCGTCCAGCGATTCTGTTGATGGTGAAGCTCGGCCATCTTGTTCGGCGATGAGAGAGTGCTGCTCGTATGTGTCCCGTGGAGGATGCGAGAAGGGGTTTGTGAACCGCATGTTGAAGGTTGAAAGCCAAGCACCTTATTCAAAGAAGAAGTGTGTCCCTTGGCTAACGGTGCGGAGAGAATAGAGTCGGGAAGGACTGGATGAGGGAGGTACCCTGGATGTCGAGAAAGGTGGTCCCAAAGTTGTTATACGGGCCCCCGAAGACTCTCGGCGGGGTCTCTCACCCAAGATCGCCCTCTTTGAGCCTCGTCTGTACAAGTGTGGGATGCAATAATTACTCCGTGCCGACCTCTCGCTCCTAGCTTTCAGCCGCAAATGACAATACCCTCCTCGAATCCGTACTTAACTAATGAGCGATGATGGCCAGAACGTAACTCCACATCAAAATCCGTCTCGGCTCCCGAGCCACAGCTCCTCTATAGGAAAAGCCCCCTTCGCATCGGTGGCATGTGGCAGCTCTGGGGTGAGGTAAGTGATCTGTGTAAGTGCGTGTAAGCCAGCCGGTATGACAGAATGGTGACTTCGGGCCGGCCGCTGTGCTTGAGAAACGTTGTTTGCGGTAAGCAGAAAGGTGGCGGCCAGATCGAGGCTTTTTGAATCGAAAATCGTTAGGACCGGGCACTTAATTACGATTGTTTAGCTTCCCGAACAAAGTTGACGCTTTCGTTCGGACGGGCTGACACCTCACACCAAAAAAAAAAGTTGGGGTGAAACCTGAAGGTGGAAATCGGCTTGTGTCGTCTCGTGTCTTTGACAGGGCGGAACCCGGCGGCGGGTGTCTTGTATTCCCGAGTCAAGGTTTACTCAAAGTGTCCCGACTCGGGCTCGGTCTGGTGTTATAGATGGGCATGGCAATAGCTGGCGAAGAGGAATGCTCATAAATTCTCCTCATCTTCCAAACATTCTTGTATCTTTGCATTTCAAACCCGTCATTCAACAACTCCAAGTTATGAAATCCACGGGATCCGCTGCCTATCTCGGTTGTGCAGATTTCCCAACTGAAATGACACCTGGATCCATTCCAAAGAAGCTTAGACTGGCATGGTAAGTTGCGGCCCAAAACGGGACGTTTACTTGGCGTTGGCGTAATCGGCCGGAGGCGCTTTCTGTCTCACATTAGCTTGGCTCTGTCTCTTGTCCGCGCCGAAGACGTTCTCTCTACTGCGAGATCCGAATTACCAATCGCTGATCGTGGCATAGCCTCTCGCAATAAGACTTGGTGATTTCCGGGCTTGTGTAACCATAAATCGCGAGCCACTGACACCCTGACTTTTGAGATACTCTTCGAAGCCCGGCTTTTCTACCATGGAGGCCATCTGTGCTTTCCTTGGAAGTGACATCACATCCGATGGACAGCGTTGATGTCGCAAAAGCTGAATTTTGACTCAGTTTTGAAGAAAGAGATTGAAGAAGGGTCAAGTAAGCCATTACTTACTCATTTGGCTTCGCTTCGGCTGTGGACGTTGGAGACCCCTCAACGTGATCCAATCCGGAAAGCTGAAGAAAGCTCCCTGATGCAGGTGACGGATCGGGACCCTGGACGCTTGACCGAATACTACGATGCTTAATGCGTTTAAGGTTGAGGGGCCTGGACCAACACTGAGTCTTGTCAGCCTCTACGAGGGCTATGATCACACGAAGAGTAGCGACGACTTAGTGAGGCGCTTTGTGTAAATGCCTCATCCCACAACTGCAGATACGGCCGCACACGCAGCCATATTGACAAGCCGCATGACCCCCGGACGAGCAAGGGCTTTTTACCAAAAGATTATATGCAGTAATGCACTCGTGGCACTGATACTCACGATTTAGACTTGGCGCACCACGAGTTCAGAGGAGACTTATCTGAGCTGAGAAAAGCTGAGAAAATGCTACACTATTGTCAGTGCCGCTATCACCCCGAAATCGGGGTTCAAAGCATCTTGAGCATGCAACGCCACATGTAACCAGAAGCCAGAGAGCACGCGTGCTAGGCGCGTTGAAAGCACTTTGGCTTGCGGCAAACTTGTGACCGACTAAGCTAGGACATTAGTGATGCTCAATTGCTCGCTGGCTTGCCTTCTTCCGATTACGGCACGTAAAATTGTTCACTTCCTGGGCAAGGTAGTAAAGTATTAAATTTTGATTTGTTGAGTATTCTTTTACTACGAAGTCACATCTTTCTGCTATCATTGAGAATGGCAAATTACTCATGCGATTGCCGCTCCGTATAACAACTCCATGAAGTTGTTTTATCAGGTGTTCTAGCACACTTGAGGATGATTGAGGAGGCACTGGGAGCTTATGCAAAGGAGAGCGAAGTGTGTTCTAAAGATGAACATGTGACTGGTCGTGCTGAGGCTCACCGTTGAAGTTCTTCCAAAGGGCTATTGGCAGAGTTGGCGTTGAACGGAAGTTCGTTATGGGTATGCGTGTGTAATCTAGTATATATGACGTCGTTTTTCGACGTCTGTCATGCGCACGTATCGTGGCACCTGCCAAGCTTGCTTGTCGAGATCAGAGACATTGACGATGTTGTGTAGCCTCGACAGAGCAGTGTAACAGGTGAAGTCAGATGAAGCATCGCGAAAGGCAGCGATTCGCTCTTTGGGAACGGTATCTTCTGAAAGCATGATCCCTTGACGTCGTCGTCCCTTTCACACATTGCCAGCGTGCATCAATGTCAGGCGCGCTGGGCGGCGATCTGCGCACTGTTATCTCATTGCGTACGTCAAACTGAGACCAAGATCGTGTGCGAACTTTCGGGCCGGGCCTAAGACATTGTGTGGCGCACTTCCGCCTTTTGCGCCTCGCCAAGATCTCGTCAACCGGCAACTGCGATAGATGAGTTTGGCCAAAGATCGCGATGATCTAGATTGTTAGCTACGATAGCATATCTCCATGTCGTTTTCTCTCATCGTTTGTACAATGCTGAAGTTGCTCGTGGGTAAGGGTTCATCACTATTTCTCTCGTCCAACGCGGTTGCCACAATGCCTCCCTCCCTCCCTCTCTCCATTGAAGCTACCGTACCAATTCATCAGTTTCAGGTACTCGGTCTGGCGTTATCTCTTAAATCGCCCTGTGCATTGCGGAGGATAATTCGGCTGTCTCCTTGCTGTATCGCCGTGTATGGTAGACCAAGAGTGAGGGAACTCCGATGCTTTGGACGCCCCTAAAAAGTGTACAAGACATCGTTGCGACATCAGCACGTGAAAGGTCTTCCATAACATCGAAGGCAGCTTAGATTAAAGTACGAGATCATCGGTAATGACTGAGTTCCCTTCTATCTACCCCAGCGCCTTGCATTTTCCTAGTTTGCAATAATCTACATACGTACATGACTTTTACTTTTGCTGTTGTTTCCTCTTGAAGGACTGGTGCTATGATCGCTATGAAAGACCTTGAAGTAGGGCAGGGCGCCGCCGCCGGCCTGATTTTGGTTGTTGAACTACATGGAATGGTCCAGTGGAATACGATGGACTAAAGGCTAGACATGATGCTAAAAAAGAGAACAGGACTTGAAGAGAAGACTACGAAGTTGCAGTTGAATATGCCAGGCGTGTAGCTTGGCACATGTTCAGAAACTGAACAGACCGCTGCGGCGCTTGCCGAGCGGGTAGATGATCAACGCGCTGATGAACAGACCAACGGCAATACCGATGGCAATCTGGATCATGGAGGCGGCGACGTTGAATACGACCGTGTTCAGGGACTCGCCTCCAGAGTATTGAACAGAGCTTGTGCCATTGACGGCGTGCGTCGAGTTGGTGATTGCGTTGGCCGCACTCAGACCGCTTAGCAATCCTCCGGTAGACGCCAGACCTCCGGGCACCTGCGTGAAGATGGCCGGAATGAGTGTGGCTGCCGCGACGCCGTGCCTCAGACGCGAGTACAGGTTCGCCAGGACACCAACAGTAAGCGCGCCAAGGGCATTGGCGACCTGTGGTGCGGCGCTGAAGCGCAAACTACTAAAGTAGTTGACAATGTAGCCGGCGAAGGCAACAACGAGCATGACAGGCATCTGGCGCCATTTTGCCTGATACAGGACACTGATGCAGAGGACGAAAAGGGGCACGAAGATGAAGGTGTAGTAAGTGGGGATCGAGTTGGTGCAGCTTGTCGTGGAGACGGCATTTTCGTCGAACATGCCGTAGAGGACAGCGCCGATCGTGATGCCGAAGCCGAGGAAGAGGGAGTAAATGATGGCGTAGACGATGCGAATCGAACCGGGGACGATGGCGCGGGACTGGAGCTCGAGGGCGGAACACACTGGGCCATCAGCGGCTTGTCCTAGGTTTTTGGTGCCCGTAGGCAAGTAGAATCCCCAACACTTACGCGAGAAGCGCAGAGAAAAAGGAGGTACAGCTCGAGCGGAACATCACGATGGGGTAGGTAGTGCGAAGAGGTCACTTACAAACTAGGTATCCAGGTAGAAGCATGACGATGCCTCCCTGGGCCAGGGCCGAGAAGCAAAAGAGCTCGCCGCCCTTGATACTGCCGAAGGCTCGTGCCAAGAAACTTACCAGGACGGTAGCCGTCACCTCGAGGACGTTACTGTAAAGCTTGGAGTTGGCAGCCACGATGAGCTGCAGAAAACCGACGAGGCAGCCAAAGAAGAAGCATAGCGGGAGATCGATCATGCGAGCGCCGAACGAGAAGGGGGCAGCCGTGGCGCTGGTCAGGCCAAAGACAAGAACTCGGATCCAGGCGTGGAACTTGTCCTTGGCCTTGATGAGGGTGTCCAATCGTTGAATGCCCTCGTCGACGCTGACGACATCGTGAATGACTTCCTTATAGACGTGATGCGCGTCTCTGAGCTTTCCGAGGTCGATACCCTGGGCTACGCGGACGATGCGGACTTCGGTTGTATGGGTGGACCGATCGTCGAAAGAGATGATCATGCATCCTGGGAGATACAGGAAATGACCATCAATCTCGAGGACCTTGGCCGTTGTGCTGAGGTACTCCTCGAGACGATGCGTTGGTGCACCAAAGAGCATCAAAGCCTTGCAGAGTGTGATGATATACTCCTGTCTGGAAAGCGTCTCAGCGATGTGGACAGTAATTTTGGCCTCCTCTTCTTGTCTGGCTAGGTACGCAGCGATGGAGTTGCTGGCGGTTCGCTTATGCTTCGGCCGCGTCTTCTTACCAGCCGCCTTGCCATTCTTGGGTGACTCGTCAGTCTTTCCTTGCGTATTAGGGTTGGCGAGGCGGGCCGAGGCTTCGATGAGGTTGACGAGGGTCTCCTGGGAGCGGTTTGCCTCGTACCACTTCTTCTTCTTGGGCGTCGTTGGAGTCGCGGTGCCTGAGTTGGAGCCCGGCGTGCCCGCTCCCGGCAGCGGTCCACCAAAGGAGAAAGAGGTGACGGAGCTGCGATTGGTCTGCCCGGACGACTGGTACTGATTGCCTGATTCCGCAGGCTTGTACAGCTTTAGAAGCTGCGAAAGAACGCTACCGCGGTACTCCGTGGGCGCAGGGACAGAGTAAACACCATCGTATTGACCATCGTTGATCTCTTGTAGGAGATGCTCGGTGACCTTGTGGATGTCTGCTTCCTGGGCGTTGGATGGACCGGCGACGCTCTCGGGTTTCTCGGCGAGGCGCCAGGTGTGAGCTCTTACAATTTTGTAAGCCTCGTCGTTCAGGGCGGCATGGTGCTCGTGAGCTTTCTTCTCAGCCTCGGCTGAATCGCCATTGAGTGGCTGGCGGGAATGGAGATCTTGGAGAGCAATGTATCCTCCGGCTCCCTCTCCTCCTCCGAGGTCATACTCGCTTGCGGTGGTGGTAGTAGCGGACTCGAGTGAGTCTCGGTTTTCGCGCGTCGGCGAGCCGAAGTGAACATTTTCAGCCATCTGCCGGGCTCGCTCTTGAGCAGCTGCCGCGGCAGACTTGGCCTCTTGGCGTTCATTCTCATCCGGCGGATGGGGTTCCTCTTTGGCGAAAGTAGCCACGGTAGGAATGGAACTGCCGGAACCACCTCGTAGGATAGATGGTCTGGTAGGCTGTGCCGGAGCAAGCTTGGGTGTAGTTGGAACTGCTGGTGGTGATGTAGGAGGCTTGGTCGCGGCCGCATTGCTGTTAAATCGGACGCGGCCTTTCTCTTTCCTTAGGGCGGCTGCAGCTGCGGCCTCGGAAGGCATGCTTGTCCCGGCCGTGTCGGAGCCAGATGTTGGCTCGGAAGCGGATTCCACCGGCTCAAGTGCCGCCGTAGAGGCCGAGCCGATGCCGCCGGGCTCGGGACCAGGGTCATCATCTGGAGAGGACTGTGAGATTCCCGCCATTGCATCGACGGTCAGAAAGCGAGCGAGTATCTTCCAACTTGGCAGCGGAGCAGAATGGAGCCGAGAGAAGAAGCAGAAAAGCAAGATACAAAAGCACAATAAATTACCAAAGAAAAATTCTGACCTTGTGGGAGGCACAAGTGGATCGTGGGGAAAAGTATGGGGGAAGACCCCTTTCTTATAAGTAGAACCGGACCGGCGGTTCACGAAGTCGGCAACTTGTCACCCGGACCCTCCGGTAACCTGGCGTGCCTAGAAAGGTTCTCATACCGGAAATACTTTTTCGTATCCATTAAACTCCACTTGGGCCGAAACCGCTCCACGAGAAGCAGCAGATCGAATTTCCATGAACGTGCTAGCACACCATGTTTTGGCGCAAGTTCGTTAGGGCCCGACTTCCTATTACCTAAGAAAATCGGGATGCTTGCCGTCATTCGCCAGGGGACTCCCTGTGAGTCCCTGCGCGGCCTTGGCTTGCGGATGGTATGCAATATGGAACTATGCACATGTCGTCATGGGGTTTCCCTTTCCTCTTTGACGCGTCTTTCGGATGATGTGCTGACCTTCGGAAATGGTGATAAACCGCCATATCGGTCGAGATGACACAATATCACGGAGCTGTCTATGAGGTTGCAAGAAAACTAGTGCCGTAGGATGGCCTTAGGGCCAACCCGAAGATCCTGCATAAGACTCGAGAGTTCCCCTCGATGGTGTGGTTCCCACTCGGAAGCACCCGATTCGCTGCAGCTTGCTGTCATCCGAGCTCGGCCAACCAGAGATCGTGTTTGTGTCTCTGCTGCCGTAAATATCTGTTCCGTCAGGGGCTCAAACCAAGGGTCTTCCCATCACTCCATGCCCAGTTCTACCGCCTCATCGAGAACCACATGTTCGATTTCGGCGCTATGTTTGGTTTGCGCGGTCCGCTGGGAGCGCGGTCTAGACTCTAGAAATGCCGGGAGGCTTAGGTTATGAGTGGCAACCCCTTTCAAACAACAGGAACTTGGACCTTAGTCGCCTGAGTCATGTAGCTGGCTCCCACATGCCTGGACCGACCGGCAAGGGTTGCCTCTGCACGTGAGCAATGGAAATTTTGTATCACGATGCTAGCGAAATGATGAACAAGTCTTTTCCTCACTTGAAGGAGCTGAAGGAAAGGGGGCAGTGGTTTTGCCTGACCAAACTATGAGGATGCTTCATTTTAACATGAGGTGCCCGAACTGAAGGATTCGCGCAGCTACGGCACAATTGTTCAGACAAGTTGAAATCTACTAAAGTACGTGCAAAGGCATGTTCAAAATTAGCAGTCAAGGGAAACGTTGCAGTCTAGTGTATCGTGCCGGATTTTTACTTGCTCCGCTGGTTCTTCCTAGTTGAATCGGCGTTGACTAAACTCATGGAAAGATTGCGAGAACTCGAGGAACCCTTGCACAGACGCGGAGCCGTCCGGAAAGAGTTCTCCAATAAGCCGCTCAAGCAAGGCACAGGATACGATCCGATATGATGCGAACCAGAGTCTACGTGCGAGTAAACGTTCATTTTGCATTTAGATGGAATCATTTTTCAGGGTGATTAGGTATAGAAGAACTAGGCAATCCAGAGACATACTGGAGCTTGACATACCATAGCAATGTTCCAACCAGACACAATTTGGATTGAGAAATTTAAACTCGGTCTCGGCCAAGGAGGCGACGAGCCCTTCCGGCTGCTGGGCGAATTTCCACCCTACTTGTATCAGCCGAGTGGCGAATCCCAACGCTAAAGACGTCCGCCCCGGTCGAAACTGTCCTCTCTCTAACTTCACCATCCATCAACCTATCCGCCTTATCAACTATCTCTTTGGTATGCGGTGATACAACCTGCGCAACCGTTTGCCACGCATTTCCTAACGACGAAGCTTGCGTCCGTGTCAAAAACAGCATCATCGTTGTCAGCAATAGTACAAGATGAAGCGCAATTACACCCTGCACAATACCGAAACCCGTCCAGCGTAATGGGATATAGGTGCTCCTTGAAGATACAGTAGTAACGGGATACTCTAGATTTTATCCGTTCTCAGACTCGTAGTACGCCATTTGATGTAAGCGCGCGACCATCGCCTGGACCGCCCGCGACAGATCCCCAGTCGTCTGCAGGATGTCCTGGAACAGCGCAACGTGCGCTGAGTGAGGCGTCCATTGCTCCTGCTCGTGCTCCGGGCTTCTCGTGCCCCAAGTCTCGCCCAGGTAGGCGCCGTTCAACATGTTCCAACCCCGTGTCTCCAGAGCTGCGCTGAGGGACTCCATCAGCACGCCGTGAGCGCTGACTGTCCACCAAAGCTTTTTTTCCGAGGAAAGAGTAAAAGATATGAGTTGCATGATGCCGCGCTCTGTGAAGAGGGCTGTGGAGCTACGGGCTGCGTGTCTTGGGATGCCCAACTGGCGGCGGATGGAGCTGGTGTTCCATTTGATGCTGTTCCAGTTGAACTCGGGTTCTTGCAAGATTGGTTGCCCGCGCATGGTTGCGTTATAGACGGCAGGCTCTGCGACATTCGTGAAGCAGAGGCTAGCGTTGAAGAGCGGAAAGCTGGAGTTGTCCTTGATGGACGTCCAAACCCCGCCTTTTTCATGAACAGGGGACAGGTTGTCCACGTCGACAGATTGCTCATAAATGGTTTGGCTGGAGTTGACAACAAGGATGCCATGGAACATGTACTCTGTGCCCTTCACTGGTTCTGAAAGACCTTTGAAGCCGTCGCCATCCCAAGTTCGACCCGGACAAAATGTTAGTGGCCATAGGTCGCTGTCGTAGATTGGTTTTCGACTTTTGTCCTCGTAGTGACCTCCGATGCGCGCAAGGCGACAGTCGAAACGCATCTGGAAGACCGCGTCCTTATAAGTATCTCCTTCGAGATGCTTCCCGATGGGTATCGATGCATCCACTTTGACTCCAAATAGGTCATCGGAGTCAGTATTATAAACCTCCAAGGTTTCGAAATCAGGAGCAGAGCAAAAGGTTCTAGAGTTGGCGATGATAACAGGCCCGTTATAGTATTCGAGTGTTGTTCTTGCCGTGGCGTTCATTGATGGCAGAAGGGCGCGATAGACGTTGCCAGTATCGACAATGTCAGGGCCGGATAGAGCTCCGCCATCGTCCCATTCCCCGTACCTCCAATACGTGGCTGGGCTAGATTTGAAAAGTGATACACCGCTTCCGCGTCGCTCGGTACCGTCGTTCCTGAACGCTACAGAGACTGTAATGTTCGTTGCTGGCCCTGATATCGACAGAGTTCGGAAGTCGGAGAGAAGAATGGTCGAGAAGAAGGTCGAGGTCACCATTATTCCTAAGGCTGCAATCACAAAAAGAAGATGATATAGCCCGGGCAGGTTGTTGCCTTGCCTTGCCGCCGGAAAGAAGATGGCAAATGGCCCAGTGCTAGCTGCTCTCTCGATCGACACCACCGCAGCGTCAGCGAGAGATACTCGCGAACTCTCGAGCATCAGGGCTGATATTGCCGCTGTGATGAGTCCAACTTGCAACATCATCGAAGTCCGGATAGCAGCTGAACATATTGTAATGACGGTTGGAGCCCAGTCGTTGAAAACTACAGCTTTCCATAATTCTGTCGGCTCTTTCCCGGACGCCGCGATCACAGCACCGTTCCACAGAAGCGCGAGGGCCGTACACGAGATGATTATCACAACCATCCCTAGCGCTAGGATCAGCCAGCCTTTTTTGCCCATCCTTGACCACCATCTCTTCGTTCTGACTTCGTGGGTGAATTGCGGTTCACTACTTGCCGAGGCTCCGGGAGCAGCACCGTTACGAGCCAACTTTTGAGCCTGCCTCGGCGCTCCTCCTGATGGCCGATCTGTCAATTCGACGTCAGTGATCTTGATATAGTTGGACATGATGGTATTGAGACGAAGATAACCAAGGCTTTGGGCCGATACCCTCAAGTTTCTCAAAGCATTTCAACTTGAGGGGCCTTCTGACTACAAATAGGTCTGCTCCAGCGGCGCAGCTCCGGCATGGGGAACTTGTTGAAGCAGTAAGGCACCCAATCACACAAGCTGCTCGGGCTCTTATCTTATGCTCACGCGCAGCCTGCCTGAAAAGAAACCGGGGCTTGATTCACCTCTATTTTTGGTAAAGAATCTCACCCACGAAAAGTCGGAGAGTCTTGCACTAATGTCAAGATTGTCTTTCAGGCTATTCGCTGTTGCGTAAGCGCGTTCTAACGATAAGAAGTGACACCACTAGCTCACGACAGCATTACGATCAGACATCTGGCATAGAGGCAAAGTATTCATATATTAATACTTTACTTTGAAGGAATGAGGCCATTTCCAGATGTGAGTTTGTCAAATCGTTCCGAATGTCTGAGATAGGCGGATTAGTTCAAAACAAGAAACTAAATATTGGAACACAACATAATGTCAAGGCAAATATCATCTGCAGAAGATGCCAGTGATACGTGAAATGTAAACAGCAAAACATGTCCTCCACATCAAATCTCTTGTTACTACCAGCTGGTGGCTGTTCTTAGCCCTGAAGGAATCTCAACTGACCGCCCAAAAATAGCTGGAGTTTCTTGAGGGGATATTGCTTGATTCGTTATAAAAGAGGGGTCCTTGGTTGCACGGTGGACGATCTTTTCAAGTTTCTCATACAGAATGTCTGCGGTGACGCGATCTTCCACTTGAATCAAGAGCAAGTGCCGGGTGATTAGATTGACCAGGGCTCCTAGCGCTGTGCCACCTCCACAACGGGGATCCCTTCGCAGAGCTGCAAATGCTTCGATTACCGAGGGATGAATCACCGCAACGTTTCCCCGAAGCGCGTAAAAGTTGGAAGTTCTCTGAAGTGGCGTCCCTTCTTCCCTGGATTCGGCGAAGCTGTTGATGGCATTGACCCCGTAGACCATCCAGATGACAAATTCGAGATATATGCATGCCATTGACCAAATGTCGTATCTGCGAGGCCTAGGCTTATTTGTCTTCAGGATGGCTTCTGGTGGCTCGTACGAAGGTGTAGTAGCTCTGGTGAGGGTACTCATGGATCTCATATATGTCGCAGCTTTGTGAACCTTGGAAATCCCGACATCTGCAATGACAAGATTACCCAGCCCGCCATTAGAGAAGTGGAGGATATTTCCGGGCTTGAGATCACCATGACGGAAATTGATGTCATGCAGCTTCCGGAGGGCGCCACTTATTCCAAGCATCTGCTGCAAAGACCACAACATGTACTCCTGGTTTGAGATACGTAACATCCAGAACTCCTGGAGGTTCCCTCCTTCTGCCCATGGGAAGGCTATGAAGTAAGACTGGTCTCTCTCGCAGAAGAATAAGTATCGTATGAGATGTTTGTCGTTGATACCTTGCGTCTTCAGGAGGTTCTTCTTTTCCTGATCGAACAAGGTCGAGCCCTCAGAGTTGCGAAATATCTTGACTGCAACCACCATGTTCGTGTTTTGCGCCTTTGCATCTCGATCATTAGCACTTCGTTGTACTTCTGCAGAAGACTCGGACTTACCCCAGGACCGGTTTGGTGAGCCGCATGTAGCTCGCTCTTGTAGACAACATTGCTGTGTTCACCCCGAAGTTCGGTTGCTCTTAAGAGTGGTAGCGGACATTTTGAATCCACTTGAAAGACCGTTGATGTCCCTGTGACATCCAGTTTTGGGGCGAGGAAGAGCCACTGCTTTTCCAGAAACATATCCACCTTGGCTTCATTTTTCCAGTGTTTAAACGACTTGACTTCCAGTTTTCCCTTAGATTCCAAAGTACCGCTGTACTTATCATGAGTTGGCCTAGCAAGGGGTAAATCTTCGTCGGTAAGACCATCATCGACTAGCTTTCGAATCGCCTGAGGCTCTCCGATCATGACAAGAATTGCAAAGATTCGTCTTGCGTTCATCGAGATTTTGCTTGGGAGGCTATCGGAAAACAGCCTATTCATGAGGTTTGTGGGGAGTTCATTCTGAACTTTCTCCTTGGTGATGAGATCATTCAGATTGCTAAGTGGCAAGAATTCCTGGCTTACGATAGAAGAATACTGAAGAGACTCTTTCAAACTAGAAAGAAGAGCTTGAGAATTCATTGCCCGTTGAGATACCTTGTCTGGATGTCTAGCTCAGGGATCGCATTCGCAAATGGTTGGGGTTGAAGGCTGAGTTCAACAGGACGGCTCACCGACAATCGCGGGGTCTTATGAAAGTCTGAGCATGAGCTTTGATCAGCGACTGTACGAAATAGAACAGGCTGCCAAATTCAGGCGACCATGAAGGCAGCCACATAAGCATCCTCCAGGCCGAAGTAACTGTCAGCGAAACTGCCGAAGGGACTCCAGTTTCTCACATCTTTCCGGGCCGTTGCTTGGAGACCATCACGCTCCAATGACCTGTCTTTGACACAGCCCTTGTACACTTGGTACATAAACGGATGATCTAAGATACATCCGAAGTCTCGCTGGAAGCTGCTTCGCTGATCCGCAGTCTTATAGTCGGGGATGCCCGGGATCAGTTGGCACCCCTTTCATGTGTGCGGCAGAATGAAGACCGCCACCATGGCATCGTGGTCCAATAATGAATTCTGATCATGACACCCTACACAACATAAGAGATAAGCTGCTCGGTTCAGCCTGATTTGGCGTTGGAGAAAGTCTGCAGGTTCTCTCAAAAGATAAGATGCACTTACCCCGCCTCCTGAGCTGCGCCAACGCACAATTTTGAGCAGACTCACGTCATCGCAGTACATGCATATCAGTGGTTTAGTTGCCATGCCCACAGCCTGATCCCAAAGAAAAACTGCACTGCTAGGCCTTTTTGTTCCTGCGGACATCAGCAGGTAATGCGAGAGTTTGGGAGATCTGGAACTTCTAGTTCATTACTATGGCATGCCCCCTTGTCCGTGTCGATCTTCCTCGGAACTCTTTTCAATATTCCGTCGAAGTGAAAGTAGACTTCAGTCAACCATGATCTGCTCGGACGAGGTTGGAAAGTGTTAGCATGAACTCTTGGCCAATGCTGACAGCTTCCTGATTTGGCTCCACCGAGCCATCACACTATTGGCAGTGTACGCATCGGTTAAAGGTCGCAGTAGGCATGCGGAGTCTGGAGAAGTTGGTTTCCCCTCGACTCCGAGCCTGATCTAGCCTGGTCTATGCGGCAAGCGGGCGAACCACGCGCGCCAGCTTTGGTGGCTTGCAGAGGTCAAGCACCATCATGCCGTTGGTTGGAATGTGGACGTTATGTATGGGAAATCGAATTTTGGGCCTGGGTCGAAGCGGAAGGGTGTACACCAAAAGGCAACCAGGGCCAATAAAGTAGTCGTGGAGGGTGTGTTACCGAGCAAAGGAGGGGAAGACCGTAATCTGATACGGAAAATGGCAAACATCAACTAGTAAGCCCATCAATTCGTATCTGCATAAGTACGTTGCAGCATGCTCTGGAAAAGTCCAATCGCGCAAGATCCAACTTCGTCTGCATGTATGATGTGGAGGCTATGCAAGTTGCTGAAGTATTCATGAAATGCGAGGCTTACCATTTCTGTGTGGTGGTCATTGGTTATCATCACATGTGAGTAGGACCCATTGGCGTGCCAAGATGCAGATATTGGGGACATAAAGCTGAATGTGTAGCCAAAGAAGGGAGAAGCACCTGAGCACAATTGCCGAGTCAAAAAAGCTCATAAGCAGCCTCTGCAGAAAACTCGAGTAGTAAACGCACAGCATAAAGACGAGAACCTCGGGCATTCGCCTAACCCGATATCGCGCCGTGTGTCTTCGATCACCATATATGCCAGAAGAACATCGAGTATACCGTCTCAATTGTGGAAGAAGTCGTCCTTTGCCAGTCTTCGGAGAGGTAGTAACGAAAGTGACCAGAGCGACGAGATGGCTGCTCTTCAGGGCCAGCTAGTCTCGGCACAGCTTCCTGCAGGAACATGCGGAGGTAACACCTTTCTTCCGTACTCCATCTTGGAAAAGCAGATAACTACGCAGTTGGTCAAAGAAACCCTATCATATCAAACGAACAAGTCGCCAGAGACGATATCAAACATCGCCTCCTTCGTTTGTGGAAAGCCCGGCGCCAGGAGAGTTTTCGCGGTTCTTGCCTGCCTAAGTCGCTCGGAACGTATTGACTTGTTCTACGAGCACAATTTTGTCGACTCTATTCTACCTCTCTTCATCGATGAAAGCAAGCAAGTGAGAACCCGATCCGATGAACCTGGCCATTCTGAGATCACCAAGAGGGTTTTTGCCGACAAGTTTTGGGCATTCGTTGTTTCGCCGTACCTCTTTTGTGACAACCAATGGCAATTTCTCGGACCGGTCTTCAATGAACATCAATTCAGATATTCCTTTCGAAAGGAACACCGAATGCCGTTCTTGGAGCAACCTGGTGGACACAAAGAAAGTCACTTCAGCACGGTGGGAAAGTGGTCTATTCATCAGTCTCATTTCAAGAAGAGCTCAAAACTTGTAAGCGCACACAAACCCACGAACAACGCATTGCCCAGGGCTTCATGGATGCGACACTCACATGATACAGCGTCTATCAGTCGACGAAAATGGACATCCCATTATAGCAGTGAAAGAGCTGAAGAATGTCAACATGAATCCTGACGAGTATGAGCGTGCAGCCGAGGCTGAGGCAGAAGTTTTACATATGATCCGCGAAATGAAGCATCCGCACCTCATCAAGGCAATCGCTTACTACAAAAGGGGTGATCGGTACTTTATTATTTTCCCGTGGGCGGGAGGTGGTAACCTACGAGACTACTGGGGAAGAGAGCCTCCTCGTAAGCTAGATGCAGATTTTGTTGGCTGGACTCTTGGTCAGCTCTGTGGCCTGGCTGGTGCGATGAATAAGCTTCATTCGACAAAGGACTCCGCATGTAGACACGGGGACCTGAAGCCAGAGAATATTCTTTGCTTTGAGAACACCAGGAGCTCCGACCCGTTTTCCCAGCCGTTTCTCGTCATTGCGGATGTTGGTCTGGCTAAAGTTCACATCTTAGCGACGGAGATGCGTAACGAAGCTACACGCACGATGAACGGAACGGTTATGTACGAGCCACCTGAAGCCGTACTGCTGCTAACTAAGAAACTACCACGGTCGCGACGTTATGACGTCTGGTCCATCGGCTGTATCTACTTCGAGTTCCTGATTTGGCTTCTTTATGGAAAAGCCGAACTGCTTCGATTTGGGGATGACATAACGCATCCCGTGAACAGAACACGGCAATTCTTCGATGTACATGGATCTGGTGTGACCGGAGAGGCTAGCATCAAGCCCGGTGTTCAGAAGTGGATGGATTGGATCAAAAGGGACCCGAGATGCCCACCGAACACTGCAATTCGAAAGTTGCTAGAGCTCATTTGCACACGATTGCTAGTCATAGAGGTAAGCAAGCTGACGAGGAAAGAGTCGTCTGGAAGCGACAGTGTCCGGGGCAGCATCACTCTACACGCGACAGATGGCCCAGATAACCCGAGCATTATTCGATCGGACACCAACAGCAGCTTTAACGGCGATCCCGCCGACGACCTTCGTTATCGAGCGACTTCTATCGAAATGTACGAAACGCTGGCTGGCATCATCAAAGATGCTTCGGGGAAACCGCCAAGAATTCCTTGGATGAATTGGCAGGCGGGTTCTCCAGGAGGGCCAGGACAATACGGAGATACCTTGGGTGTTTCTCAACTAGGTATAAGGGGTCGACGCGGCGTTAATGCATGAGGTGAAGAGTAACTTTCCTAGGATCTCGTTCTCCTCCAATAACCAATTCCCTGGTAGACATCGACGCCGGATTGGCGGGTGCAGGTGACAGTGGCCATTCTGAGGATGTAAAAGTCCCGTATTCCACATTATGCAATATTATATACTGACATCGACAGTACGTACGTTTGCCCGATGTGGTCTAAGTGTGTGCGATCTTGGCTAAACACTTTCTTGCACGGCATAGATGGTATTAATTATGCTCTAACAACCTTCGGATATTGATATCAAGAGCTGACATCTCATCTAGTTTGTACGTTCTCAGTCGCCAGCAAAATGTGATCTTTACTAATTGTCACTGATGTAACAGACGGTATGTCTCGACACTCAAGCTTCAAATATTTACCTACAAATCTGATATCCGGTGGCCTGATTTTCATGTCCTGACAATGCAACTCTATCTAGCCGGTAAGCTTCTTACGATTTCGAGAAGAGCTACCAATTCAAATCAGTAACGTTTTCTTAGCTTGATAATGAGTGGGAGTGTAGCCCAGATGTCAACACAGCACGAGCGCTGTCTGAGGAGATCGACATTTCGCGTCAGCTTCCACTGAAAAATACGACCAGCACCCTCTGTCTTCGATGCAAAGACCTCCAACAGCGACTCAGATCACAAAGATTCTCGTTTTCTGATAATCTCGAAGCGCTAGTAAGGAGAGCAGAAGCCTGTGATCTCTGTCGCCTCCTTCGCTTTTCACTTGGATCCATGGCAGCCAAGATATACGAGGAGATCAAATTCGAAAAGCTCGACAGCTATTTGACATCCAACGTGAAACTCGGACGGCCAGTTGCAGTTCTATACAGCTTGCCAGGTTAGAACAACCTTCGTTTGTTTCATCGATTTATCTCGTGCTAAGTTTATGTTAAAGGAAAACCTTTTCTTGGTGCACAGATGGGAATGCCAGTGCTTCCGGCTGCCGGTAGTCAGGCGCATATCGCAGCGCTATCGACGTGGATACGGGTCTGCGACGACACGCATGACTGTAGCCCAGCATCCGACACCACCTTTCTTCCAACAAGGGTTATCGACGTTGGATCCGAGGGCGCCGAATCATGCCGCTTGCTTTGCGCAGACCGTGGGCAAACGAACTCGGGAAGATATCTCGCTCTATCGCATCGATGGGGTGCTCCAGACCAACATAGGAAATTCTGCACTTTGAAGGAAAACCTTGAAAGCTTCAAAGAGGAAATCAAGCTGACGGAGCTCCCCCGAACGTTTCAGGATGCTATCAACGTTACACGAAGTCTCGATATTGGGTACCTCTGGATCGATTCGCTCTGCATCATTCAAGACGACCCTAAAGACTGGAAGACGGAGTCTCTTTTAATGGAACAGGTGTACAGCTCAGCTTACGCAACTCTAGCAGCTAGCTGCGCAAGCGGGACCGAGGATGGCTTTTTGAAACCCCGACCACGGCGGCACTGTGTTACGTTAACATCCGACAGGGGCTCCTACTATATCTGCGACTCTATCGATGACTTTGGGCGTGATGTTGAACAAGGGGAGTTGAACAAGCGAGCTTGGATTCTTCAAGAGCGAGCTCTATCCCGTCGCACAATCTATTTCTCAGAAAAGCAGACGTACTGGGAATGTGGAAGAGGCGTAAAGTGTGAAACAATGACGAAATTGAGAAAGTGAGTCTAGACGGGTCTGCCAATGCTTTCAGCTAGACTCGCTTGACTGACTTCTCGATGTATCAGTCGGAAAGCCTCGTTCCTGGGAGATTCGGACTTTCCACACTCCATTGACACCTACGTTCGCGGAATGAAGATTGAGCTTTACCAGGATCTCTACCAGAAGTACTCGGGGTTGGCACTCAGCTCCATTGGTGATAGGCCAGTTGCCATCCGCGGGCTTGAAGCACGTCTCATCCGCACTTTCAGAACTGTCGGCTCTCATGGAGTTTTCGATACTTTCTTCCATCGATGTCTACTGTGGAAAAAGGCCAGCCGGTCTCTGAATCGTATCGAGTCGGAACTGCTCAGAGGAGTTTATGTTCCATCATGGTCATGGATGGCTTATGACGGCGAGATCAAATACTTGAATGTTCCCTTCAACAAGTATTCTTGGGAGGCGGACATAATCTCGCCGTTTAGGACTTGGTCATCTCAGAGCATGAAGGAGAGGGGCGAGAAAGAGGGGGTATGTGAGATCAAGGGGGCTGTATGGGACTTTCGGGGCTGTGATAGCCTCAAGCTGGAGCTCGACAATCCAGACAGGAAGCTCTCGAACCTCAAATGTGTCATTGTGGCGAGGAGAAAGGATTTACAAGGCGACCCTCAACAGTCACATTACATAATAGTCGTGCACTCTGTTGCTGTTGACGGGCTCTGCGAGATATATGAAAGAGTTGGCGTTGCGGAGGTCAGAGGAGAGCAGATTGCATTCAACAAGGGAAGTCAGAGCGGTATTCTTAGGTGATCTTAGGGTATAGCAACTAATAGCAACATGTCTTCTATCTTTTAGCGCATGGCTAGAGGTGTAACTCTGCTAAGCCGGGCTTCGATGCTTTGTTTCTGTTGATTGATCGTAATGACGGCGATGCTGCTTGAAAATTTCATCTCAGCAATGAATCATCCACTCTCCCACGCATCCTTATTCATCCAGTATACACCCACGAAAGCAAGCCACGAACCTATATTCCGCCCCTCAATCCAATTCTCGTCACCAGCACAGCAGACGCCTTCCTAGGCCGGTTGGTCAAGTCAAACTGTCTGGCTGGTGGAACGGTTGATGGTCGACAATCAAATTTACGCCAACCAACCTACTCGACGACAGGTTTAGCGAGAGTACCCGAGTTCGACTCCCAGCATGGGCACCATAATAATCGCCAAGAGATGTAGCCACACCGGGGGTGAACTCCATTTTTCTCGTCTTCGCCTTGTTGTTTGTTGAATTCAGTCACAGGTATATCCGCGAGAGCTGCCCACTGCCGTTCTGACCATCGCGATGCCGGCTACCCTACCTTGGGGGAAGATGGCGATGAAGGAAGCAGTTCTAGCCATACATGTTCACCGCACTATGATTTGGGAAAGAATGGAAGGCGGCAAAAACCAGGTATCCCATCAGGGGAGCCCTGTTCTGTCGCCAGTCTCACAGTTGTCTGCCTTCGCGCAGCTTACTCGAAGAATACGGCTGTTGTTGAAACCATCTTGGTATTAAAAACAAGGTATGGCAAGAGAGACGCTCGGCTATGCATGTTACGCTAATGCTTATCCCCCAGATGATGGATCGCCGTCTTTAAAGAGCTCGTTGCCCTCTTCGTCCACGCCGAGGACCGCAGTCCTCACCGCTCGTCCCTGCCATTGCCATCGCACAAAATGCAGAAACTTCAAGATCCAGTCCAGACTTTCCAAAAGCCAAAACTGCCACATACGGGCTTTAATCCCTGAAAGTTCGTATCCTACATTCTGACCACCGCTCTGACTATTTCCTCCTACTCCTTGAGTAGTCCGAAGCCTCCTCGGTCCTGCTTTGGCTTCGCATAATGTCAGGGAACACCTGAGCTATTTCCTGAGCATGGCATCACTCGGGAACCATATCCCCCAAATCCAAATAGTATTGGGCCGTTTCATGATCCCCCGTGTTCAAATAGTGTTGGGCAATTTCGTGATTTTCCAGCTCAGTGGCCCGTGTGATGAATTCTACCACACCTGGCGATTCTCTCACTTCGTCTATCTTCGTCGTGACTTCGAGAATTGGCAATAGTATTGATCCCAGCCACTTGGGCAACCGTCCTTTGGTGCCAGAAATCTCTGTCCACCTCGAGAAGATTGGAATGATACCGCACCGTCCACGTTCCTCTTCGTACTTGGCCAAGGCTCCTTTCTTGATCAAGCATTCCACAGCAATTTGCAGTGATGATTGCGCAGAGTTAGTCAGTTCTGCTGGCCATCTGGGAGCATCTGTTGCAAACACATTGCGAGAAAACCGCTCCCACAGCCCCATACCGGAATCATCGCGGCTGGCAAGAATATCCTTGTAGTCAAGCAGGCGGCTGTATATGCCAGCATCTAGCGCGCAAAAGCTGGCGGGGTGAGTGGCGGACGTGGGGCCAAACAGGGCCCTGTCGTTGAAAACCTGGAAGATTGTTTCCGCCGGAGACAGCCCTTGGACATTGAGAATGGTTTCAAAGTCCAAGTTCAAAAGAATATCAATCAGAGGGTTTGTAGCCGACACGTTGAGGTAGTGTAGGGCATTCCGAGATTCTCCATCAACTTCGAAGGGGTCCGCGCCGAAGTCAATCAAGCTGCGGAGTAGGTCCGCCGAGCCACATTCGACAGCCAGAAGAACGAGAGGTTCCGGGCTTTTGAGGTAGGCGAGATTAGGCCTGCAAATTTCCAGCATGTGAATCGCCCCTTTTAAAGCTGCGGGCGTTAATTTTTGCCCTTTCCTCATGGAGCTGAAGGGATAGAGGACGGCTTCGGCAATAGGGGTCTGGCCGTCATTCATTACCGCCCTCAGGTTGTGGTCTTTGTGCTTGTCGTACTCTTGAAGGCAGTCCAGTAGCTCGATGTCTGAATTGGCGGCTGCGAAGTGCCAAACGTTACGTCCACTTTCATCGGTGTCTGTGGTTCTTGCTCCATGGTCCAAGAGAAGTCTAAAGACCTCGGGCGACTCTGACAGCATCAGGGGTGTCTGGCCTTTATGGTTGCGAACATGGACATACACATCTTCTCCCGATGTCAAGATAGCAGCCAGTAGAGCTATTTCGTCGGTCTCGGCCGCGTAGTGTAGGATTGTAGTTCCATCTCGAGGTTCGTCCATAGCAAATTCATCTTCTGATGATGCGCTTGATAGTGCTCTCTGGGGCGCCATCAATGCATTTGGATTCCAACGAGGATCCAAGATAAGCCTTCTCACAACTGCCGTCTCGCCATCCTGAACTGCTTCTCTGACAAGTTCTTCATACAAGGTGTCGGAGACATCAAGAGGTCGGGACCTGGCAATACTAGAAGGACGAGCCAAATCAAAATGGTCTAGGATCTCATAGATACCTGTGGCCAATAGTGATATATCATTGTAGCTGTCGTATTCGGGAATGGCTCTGTCAAGGATCGCGGGAAGCATTCCCTCCAAAAACGAACGCGTCGGTGGCTTGAGAGGCGATGGCCAGTATTGTAGAAGAGAATCTTTGCCATGGAAGAGCTGTACGAATCTCAGATCAAGGCTAATGCCCAACTTGAGAAGTTGAAGTAGGATCTTTGGAGCACGGATCGCCTGGCAAATGAGGAATGCCAATGTTGCCAGTGAGAATTTTTCGTCTTGGCAAGGGCCAGCTGTTTCCACAGTACACGAAGCTCCTGAATCCAAGAGGACTTTTATAGTCTCCTCCTGCGAATCGGTAGGCTTGCAGTCAGACACTAGTTGTGAGGCGTCTGCAGAGCGTCCTAACAGGGCCGTTGGACCGAGCAATGCACAGTAAAGAGGGGTGCCCATAGAGCTCGGCTTATTGACGTCCACTCCCCACAACAAAAGTTGCTCGCAGAGCCGTGGAAGCCCCAATGACGCAGCAACGTGGAAAGGAGTGACCGAGTCATCCTCGAGTCTCGACATCAGCAGATTCAGAGGTGTCATCGAGAGGGCACCAGAGCTAAGGTTGAACTGCTCCGGCCATTCCTGCCTGGCGTATTCCAATAGCCATTGAAGAAAGTGCGACGACTTCCTTGAGTGAAAAAGCACGTGCAGAGGTGTCTTGTAATCGGTGTATCGTTGGCGGGCCAAATCGGGTAGAAGCTTTGCTGCCGCACCATATTCGGGGCACTTGACGTCTCTCTCAGCAACATATTGCCGGTGTACAAAGCATTCAGTCAATTGTTTGTCAAATTCGGCATTCAGAAGTATGGCAATACACCTGTCGCTATCAATCTCTGTGGGTTTGGGTATGAGTTCGACTGTATGATCCAGGTGTTGGCTGAGAACGTCTTTGCGGTAACCGTCCGTCGACAAGCGCACGAGCAAGGCGGCCCAAGAGTCGCAACGCACAAGAGAATCGAGCTGACACTGAATTCTGTAGATACTCGAGGTAAATGCTGAGAGAGAAGGAGCCTCGCTTCTTGGTCTTGCCGAGCTTGCTGACCACGCGAGGCTGGGGTCATCAAGAAGATCGCTCAAGTCGTCAAAAAGGGTGTGGTCTGGGCACGCTGGCGAAGTGTCTTGTTCTGCGAAGTCTTCAAACAATAACCAAAGGCTATGGAGAGTACCAAGAAGTTTTCTGACAGCTACGCGTGCCTCGTCGTTGACGCCGCGGTCACGCAGTAGATGGTATACTGATCGAGCTTTGGATCGAGCCTCTGTGAGAGCCTGTCCAAGCCGATGGTTGAGAGGCATCGTAGCGAGTGTAGTTGTGTCGTACGCATGTACGATAGGTGTTCTTCGCCTTCTCTGGGGTTTGGAGGGAGAAGAGCAGGTGATGATGATGATTGAGTTGCGGCTGTAGTTGTAGGTGTAACGTCAAATCTCGGCCGATGTCGACAATGAGGTGTCACAGCGTGTCGCAAGCTCTGCAAGGCGGGTCCGTTGCCGCCTGGCCAATGCTGTTGCCTCCAGCGCCGTTGAAGTCCGTTTTAGCGATTTAGCGCCCGTAGGGAAGTCTCTATAGCGGCCGCCGCTGGGCCATCGGGCGACCTTCCTTAGTCATGCATGTTGCTTATATAATCCGCGATGACAATGAGATCACGAATCTGGAACCCTCTCGCCGTGCACCTTTTTCCCAACCAGCGATGGGTATTGTTTGCCCCAGCTACGGAATCAGAACCTCAATAGTGCTGCCTTTCATCTAAAACTTCCGAGACCGGAATCAACACGTCGCCAGTTATCAAAAACAATACTTTGAATAGAGGCCATGCTCAACGAGCATCAAGTGCGATTCCGTGACAGCCTCTGTGGGCCAGGGCAAATAGTATTTCAACCTCTCAGCCGATACCCACTTTCTGGGAGCCCGTGTCTGCTCTAGTTTACTTGAGCTTTGCCTGTAGAGGTACAAAGTGTGACTCTCAAAACTTCTTCTGGAATGACCTCACGCTTGCCAACGGAGTCCCACTCCTTGGACTGTCTGCTTTGAAAGGACCAGGTACCAGAAGGGCATGATTAAATTTGGGAACTCTTGAATAAGATGCAAGGTGAATCTATACTTTGGACCTATGATAATGTCGTCGTCGGGCCTTGTGTGAAGCGACGAAGCTTTTCTCTGAAGAAAGAAATAAAGAGGCCCCTGCGCACATGGAGCTTGTTTGTGAGGCTAAGGGTACGAACCACATCTTGTAATCGAGCTTTTATTATGACGGGTAAATTAAGCTGAAGCTGTGTTCATTGAGTTTCGCCGGAACGCTTCGCGAAACAGGACCATCTAAGTGTCTCTCTGGCCTTTGAGTCGCCTGTAGCATCTCGCCTATTCCTCATCCTCATCGTGGCCCAGCCGTCATTTCACTCAGGCGATTGTCATGTAGGTAATTTTAGCACTTCCAGCAGCCTCAAGCTAGCTGGAATAGTCGTTGTTGGCTGATGCATTTCTTAGTTTGATTGGGATTGACCGGACCGGAAGCCTGAGCATCTGGCCAACATCTGGGGTTCTTGTGAGATCCCGTGGCTAAGGCTTGAAGCGGACTGTCGGAATTTGGTCAACCTTCGCTCGCTCAATCTAGAGCTGCAATATTTGCACGTGCAGACTTATTATCTAGCATATGTCATGGTGATATGAAATATCCAACTCTCGAAAGGTTAAGCATGCTGCAATGGAAGGAAAGGAGAGGATTGACAAAACTACCCGTTGAATACTTTTTCCAAATCCCCGTTTATGTAGGATCAGTCATAGGCTTGATTGACCTATACTCCTGCAGCGTCTAATCCTCGAGCTAACAAGTCGAGGCTGAGAGCCTGGCTCGATTATGCTTCCTTTTCTCATACGGGTGTCAGCCACCACGCTGTTACCCACAGAATGTCGCTGGTTCCCGCGTGGTTTCCCCACAGTGTCAACGGCTCTCATGCGGATGGATGGCAGTAGACGGTGAGCTGTTCATCGATCACGTCCTTTTGGCAACTGAACCCTGGGGTATGGCAGGAGGAGGAGCTTGCCGCACGAAGCTCGGGCGTGTAATGGCAGGTTCTGATATCACCAGTGTCCTCGAGGTTGGCCGTCGATAACTGAGCAGTAAGCCAGCTGGTGGATGAGGAGCGTTGGATGGGAGAAATTTGGTGCGGCCATTGAGGCTTGATGACCTGAATGTCTGAGGCGCAAACGACGAGCGTTGGCGGTACGTACTCCCCTTTGGAACAACGGTACGTACTAGACCTAGCAGCCCGGGCACTGTGCATCACGTCCCTTCCACCTCTCCACCTCAGCTTTCCTCCCACTTCTCAAAGTTCTCTGCATCTCTCTACCGAGTACTTCCAGCTCGCACATCACACGACGAGTCGCAGCTGAGGAGCACAATCAGCCAGATCGGTCACACAGACCACAGTCTCTTTCGTCTGAAGTCGTTCCCGCCTTCTCGCAGCCCGCCTATCCATGCAAGGACCGTCTGATCATCCTGGCGCCCGGACTAGACGATGGAATGCCGCCAAACTCTGGCTAAGCATAGACCTCTTTGTGTTTCTCCAGTTTCTCTTTCGTCCTCCCACGCGTGTCAATTGTGACGACTCATCAACTTATCGATCGCTCTTCACCTGAAAACGGCTCGATATTGGCCATTTAGAGCCTCCCGCAAGGACGGATACCTGATACACCTAGTCGTGAGCTAGACGCACAGTCGGTTTTTACTGCCCGCAGTTCTTCTCCCGCCCCTCCTCTTCATGGTCCCCGCCAGCGCTATTAGCTGCGATGGTCACCGGGCCACACCGGTAAAAACGAGAAGCATTCGCTGGTGTGGCGACGAGATCACGGATACCGTTGGTCTGCCGTTCAAGGAAGATGCCGCGGGGCACACCAACGACGGTCCATCCACCGAGCCAGTACCAGGCTCTAAAGAGCGACATGTTCCATCCGATCTGCGACATTCACGTCGATGGTATCCGAGACCTTCATTTATACTGAAACGAAAATACGGATGTCCCTCCATCTCTCCCGCCTGCGCGGCTTCCTCAATTCCGTGTTGGCGTACGGACATGGACACTGTCAACGAAACCCCCAATAGCGACTGCAGAGCCAACCCTGCTTTCTCTCTTGCCTTTTGCTGACCGCCGCTTTCTGCATGACAACATTTCTTGCCTTCGTGTACCTCCTCACGCTACTCTGCCAAAAGCAGCATGCGACATCCAACCGCCGCCACCGGCCAAAGCGTCGCAACGGCGTCGTGCCTCTTCATGAACCCCCGACAAGGACAGGCGCCAACCAGGCGGTCTGGGAGGGACCCAAAATAGGCCTGTGCCACTCCGTCGTCACGCAATGGCGGGAGATCGTCTACCATGTGGACCAAGATTCAGCCAACATTTCCTGGCCAACTTTTGCATCTTTGGTTGTTCCTTACGCCTTCGCAGCTCTCCTCCTCATCGTCGACGCCAGACTTCGGATGGCATGGTGGCATCCTCACCCAGCCCCCGTCCATCTTAGCTCCAGCACAGTGCTGTTAGGCGAGGTAGAATCGCCGTGTGAAGGAGCTTAAGGAGCTTCTCGACGCCGCCACAATCAAGTCGCCAACCGACTTTGACGCACGGTCTCGTTGCTTTTTTTACACTCACATGCAGTTTGCTCCTGGGTGACCCCTGATGGTCAAGCCTGGAACAACAGACCAGCAGCTAGCCCAGTCCTAGTCAACGAGGTCGGAAGGCCAATATCGGCAGCTCATTCATGGAATAGCTGGCAGGCATTGATGGTAGTGATCGACGATGCGCACCTGCAGACGCAAGCAAAGTCGCATATCGGGCCTCAACGTTGCTCTGCGCCATGGGACAATGAACCAAGGAGAACGCTCGGCAGACGCAGCTCATTATGTGTGTTTGTCTCCGAAGACCCAGGCTCTAGCAAGCCAGGCTTTCCCCCACAAGTTCGTGGCGTCGAGCTAAGACATCTTATTGCCTACGGCGTTTGACAAGCCTGGCACAACACCAAAGAGACTGTCCCAGTGCGAGTCAGGGTCCGTCCACTGGCGCGTTTGCTATAAGCACCGGAGGTCGGCCGTCTTTTCCATCTCCAGAGAAACCCCTCCAACTCGTGGTGGCATGTGTTACCGGTGTCAGTCACTTTGTTTCTCTGCATCACATAATATGCGGCCGTAGTCGTTGCTAACGGGTATCCTTTTCTAAAGCCGCTACTTTGTTCCTTGTAATAGACGCCTTCCGTCATATTCCTACGTCCGGCCGAGCCTGCCAGAGGGCTGTCACTTATCACGCTCCTTTTTCGTCACTCATTTTCCCTTTTCCAACCGAACTACAACCATGGCCTCTTCCATGTCTCGAAGGTCACCCGTGACACCGCCATACGATGATGACTACAACCAAAGCCCAAAGGGTCTACGGGGCCCAGGATTGAGAAGCAGTCCATCGTCGGCCTGCCTGCCCGTTCCCACCATGAGATTCTCTCCGCCCCCGACGCCCCGAAGCTCACGACCGAATAAGATGTCCTTGCGCCTGAGGAGCAATTCTGGCCTGTCATTACACACAAACGAAGACGCCTTCCGTCGATACACCGACTACAATCCCGATGGGTCCCCGAGATCCCCGACTTTTGGGCCCGGTATGTGGCCCAGTCTCGACAGCGTCTCAACAAGTCTGCGCCGAAGCTTCGGGCCACCAGTCATGGAGATCGAACCAGAGACTTTGTCTATACCGGACTTCCTTGGCCGAGAGGTCTTTCAGATGGTTCTTGCCAACGCTTCCGCCTCTCAACGTTTCTTCCATTTCGCCCAAAATCATGGCTGCGGTTCGGACGTCGAATTTCTTCTGAGGACCCAGGAATACGCGAAATCATTAGCACTGTTTGGGAAACAAGCCTCATCAATGCCGACACCAGCAAATCTACCTTCAACTGTCTCCAAGTCATTGAATGCCGATATGAAGCAGTTGACAAATTCTGTTCTCCCAGGTCTCGAATCTATGTTTGCAGAATCTACACGATGCGTCGAGCAGCGAGTTGCCCGGTCCATCTATCCAGAATTTGTGAAGCATCAGCTTGCCATCTCTACCTCGGCGGCTCTATCCGGCACTCGCGTCTTCAAATATCCTGGTCTTGCCGAGTCATTCTGCTTGACGGATGCCTTGAGCTCAGACTACCCCATCATCGCCGCATCAGATGCTTTCGTTTCTGTTACTGGGTATCCGAAAGTCGAGGCTCTTTCAAGCAACTGCCGTATCTTACAAGGGTCACTCACGGACCAGGACACCGTCAAACGCATCCGAGATACTGTCGCGCGGGAGGAGGAGTCGTTGGAGCTCGTACTCAACTACCGGAGAGACGGCACCCCGTACTGGAATCTTCTATTCACCTGTCCGCTCACGGACTCTTCCGGCAAGCTACGATACTACCTCGGAGGGCAGATCAACGTGTCGGACAACGTTGGTGGCTACAAAGACCTCCTCCGGATTCTCAACTTTGGGCCGGCGCTAGATGAGGTAAAGGAAGAGACCTCGGGTCGGGAGTCCCGAGTCAGTCGCCGCATGAGCCGTACGAGCAGCCGAGACAGAAAACAGGAACGGCGGACCAGTCTCCGCAATAGGGATAGTCTACACAACAAAGGGCCCAAGAAAAGCCTCTTCCAACCATTCCGAAAGCATGCGACGCACAACAGCAACAATCAGGAAAATACGTCACCGTCGCAGGGCGTTGGCCTCGGCTTGGAGCAGTTGCTAACGGTTTCGAGCTCGGAAGAGCACCTTTCGGCACCCACTCAGCTGGACACTGTTTACTCTGGCTACAGCCGATTCATTGTTTTGCAAATCACGGACGGACCTTCCGCCTTCCCACCAAGGTCATCGTCTCTACCTCCAGACCCTAACAAGAGAAAGGCCGCTCAGCTGAGTGTTGCCTTTTGTTCAGCCGCCGCGCTGGAGGCGCTCGGCCTCGGCCTTTTCGCCGATAGCATTACGCACCGAGACATCTTTACCGTCCTTTCCGACCTCGCGGACTCGCCATCGATTACGAAGAGCTTCAAGAACACGGTGCGCGAACGGGTGATTCAAAACGGAAAGACGGCCACGCTAGATATCATGCTCGGCGGTAACTACCTCGCACGGAAGGGCAGTCTCATTGGCCTCGGCGGGCGTTCATCCAAAGACGAATCAGACGGCAGCACGAAGAAACATGGACGACCTGTCAGCAGGTCGGGTTTTGCCAGCCTGGTGAGCGAGGCAGGGAAGATGGAGAAGCTCACCAGCCAATGGACACCATTGAAGAATGCGGAGGAAAAGGTTGAGTGGATAGTTGTTATCATTACACCGATGAAATAACGCAACGCTCCCTAACGGGATGGCCCGTTACCTATTACATATGACTTAACACTGTAATTATAATGTGTATGGGATGAAGAAGGGTAAAAAGGGAGTTTGGGTGGATCGGGGAGAGGAGACTAGACAGATACCTGGGATGTATGATTCCCGACTGAATGAGACATCAACTTTTATCAATATCTGTCGTCCGATGTGTTTCCCTGAAAGCGAAGCTGCCATGGGAAGTGACTCTAATAACCTGTTGATTTCGATTTGATGTACGAGACTCCCAGGAAGGACCCTCGAGAGGACAGATACGAGCATCATTGACAAGTTGGGCTTTCGACGATCCAGTGGACAGTCCAAACTTGATATAAAACTAGCATCCATGATATACTTGTAGGAAATAAGCCGTCATTCATAGCCAATGTTGGAAGTGTTTGACACAAGCACCTCATCATTGGGCAGCCACACACTACATATACTCACTCACACTTGCTGTCTCTCCAGAAGATGGCTCCAGTTTTTCTCTCAAACAACAAGCACGCCATCTCGATCATAGGGAAACCCCCTCCCCCCGCCCCCTCTTAAAGTGACACGAACCCTTCATCAACGTTGCAGATTGCGGGGGACGGGAAGGGGAAAAAACAAGATCTATCTAGCACATGGCTTGGAGGGGAAAGTGAGAAGATCCGGGGAAAGAAGGAGCAGGCGTACGGGTAGGAGATCTCAGATCTCGGTTACCCGCGGGTGAGTAAGAGAACGATTAGTAGATAGAGACCGTGGAGAAGTAGCCCGTCGTCCTAAAAGGGTAAAAAAAGGGGAACGAGATGAAGGAAGAGGGAGGGGGCCACTCGGGAGAGCCGTCGTGAGCCGTCATGAACCTCTGGCGGGCAAGACGGGATCTACGAGGGACGGACTACCGCGGTTCTCCAGATCCACGTGTATGGACTAGTATATGACTATATGTGCGTTATACGGGGAAATGGAACGTTGTGTCCTGTTTAGCTGCCCTCCGAGTACCGTGTTTCCGAAGAATCTTATGTTGTTTATCATGTGGCTACGAAGGAAAGTAAGAGCATTACAGGCTCTCGATGGCCTAGCTACAATCTGGTGCCTTCAAAAGTCCCCTCCACGTGTTTCTATTGACTAATGCACTTTATGCACAGAAGTACAAATGCTCACCCCGATGAACAGTAAACCTACTTGAGACTCGAGAGGCTACGGATAGGCAATCGTGGCCGCGTCTCCATGGTCCGCGGTAACAGGAAGAGGACACAAGGAATAGAGACAACCGGTTGCGGGCTTCTAGAATGAAGCGGATTACGGCGAAATGAGCCGTTCTATGCAGCATGCAGACCATGCAGACCAGAGCGGAGTAGCAAAAGGGGGAAGCACTCATACCCGTGGGCGCAAGAGTCAAAAGCAAGACACCAGGAAACCCCGTTGGCGAACAAATTTGCGTAAAAGATTTGACTGCATGCGCCGGCCCCGGGCATGCGGGCTGCGGCATCGGCTTGCGTTGCGTGGATCGTGAGGAACCACGCGGGGAAATAGGGCCGAAAATCTTTCCAGACTTTTCTTGGGTTTCGATAGGGGACCTGCAAAAGAGGATGGGCAATGGGCAGATTGGGGGACTTGCGCTCGTGGAGTTGGGAATAACATGAATTGAGCACTCCACAAACCAACTGGGACGTCAACATTAGTAAAACCCGTGCCAAGTGGATATAATCACGTAAATATTAGCCAACGTGTGGGACTTTTTTGATGGGTTGAGATGGTACGGATGGGTAATGCGCGCTTGAAGATTTTTTTGGGTACGAGGCGCGTTCCGGGCAGATTTTCCTGTTCTTTGTGGTCTTTTTCGGTACGGTGACTCTGCGTCTTTTGGGTTTTTGGTGGTGGCCGATCAGCCCATTGACTTTTTTCTTCTTTTTGAGCTTAGGGAGTTGGGGGTGGGAGAACGCTTGGTATCGAATGATGGATTTTTTTAGCTGCCGGAGCGGGACTCAACTTCCCCTCATGACTTTGAGACTAGAGTGAGATGCGAACACCCAGTATATGGATGAGACGTCAGTTTGAACATACCGAAAAGACGGGCATCACCGGCAAAGAATCAACGGCGGAAGGGTTTCCGTAGATGGTTGTGGTTGTGGTGGATGAGGCTCCAGAGCCGGGCAGGGGTGCGGTGTTCCAAACTTTCAACGTCCAGGCACAAAGTCCCCCAAGTTGCCACAATCCCGAGTGGGCCGGAGGTGCGGGCCCCGAGTCATTCTGCTAGGAAAGGTGCCGCTGCAAGAGTTCACAACTTCTCACACCCCCGTGGGCCGTCTGACGGCCCTCTGGCCCTGCGCGGTTCGCCATTGCGGACGCGCCGAGATCGCCTCGGCAGATGTCTCGTATGACCAATTCGCCCTGCGCGGGTTCCAGTGAGGTTGACGAGGCCGATCGCGGCGTGGCCTGGGTGGATTATATCAAGAAATCTGGTCCCCCCAAGGATAGAAGGACTCTGGGTCTTGAATGCGAGAGATTTTCTACCGTTTCCCTCTCTTCGTCCCTCACCTGAACGTCCGTCGTGGTTCTCTCCATTTCTGAACCACCTCTCAACTTCATCCTGCTTCTTCTTCATCACGCAGGGCGACGGACGGACTTACTGACAGCTTCAACGCGTCAGGTACAGCAAACAGTGACCGATATCACACATCTGTGTGTATACTATAGGCAAAATGGGTACCGCCACAGAAGTTACCAACAGCCCCGAGATGACGGAGGCTCAGAACCAGGCTAAGAAGGATGTCGGCGATCGTGAGGAGGCCGCGCCGGCCTACGTGCCCGCGACGGCGGAGGAGCACAACAGCGTCCTGACGGGAGAGGATGGTGAACTGATCGACTACAAGACTCTCACCTGGTGGTACGTCTAGGCTATGCTTCAACGACGCCACGGCTGTTCGTTTGCTAACCCATATACTCTCAGGCAAGGTGGCATCGTCCTCATCGCCGAGACCGTGTCCCTGGGCATCCTCTCGCTGCCCTCCGTTCTGGCGACTGTCGGTCTCGTCCCGGGCATTGTCCTCATCCTCGTCATGAGCTTCCTGTCGACGTACTCAGGCCTCGTCCTGGCTGAGTTCCGCAACGAGTACCCCTTTGTGCAAAACTTTGGCGACGCCGTCGAGGTCATCGGCAAGTCCATTGGTATGGGCGCCGTCTTCCAGGAGGTCTTTGGCTGGGCGCAGGTTATCTTCCAGGTCTTTGTCATGGGCAGCCACTTGTTGACCTGGACCATCTGCCTCAACACCCTGACCAACTCGTCTACCTGCACGATTGTGTGGGCCGTCGTCGGTTTGGCTGTTTTCGCCGTGCTCAACTTCCCGAGAACGCTCAAGTACACGAGTTACATGTCCATGGCTTGTGAGTTCAACCGCCCTTCTTTCGAGAATTTGCTTTCATGAACTTTGACTTACCAAGATACATAGCATGCTTGTCCATCACCCTGGCCGTCCTCATGACCCTCGGTGACGTCGCCGTTTCCCGCCCCATCGGCTCCGGCAGCATCGAAGTCGCCCGCCAGCTCGGCTTCACCGGCGCCTTCCTCGCCGTGACCAACATCGCTATCGCCTTCTCGAGTCACTCCTGCTTCTTCAGCGTCATCGGCGAGTTCAAGAAGCCCGAGGACTGGCCCAAGGCCCTGGCCCTCCTCCAGATCGCCGACACGACGCTCTATCTGCTCGCCGCCATTGTCATCTACGTCTTCGTCGGTCCGGACGTCCCCTCCCCCGCCCTCTCCGCCGCCGGCTCCAAGACGATGCGCAAGGCCATCTGGGGCATCGCCATCCCGACCATTGTCATCGCTGGTGTCATCTACGGCCACGTTGCCGCAAAGTATATCTTCTCGCGCCTGTTCCGCAACACGAAGCACATGATTCGCCGCACCAAGCTCTCCGGCATCGCGTGGATCGGCATCGTCGTCGGCATCTGGGCACTGTCCATGGTCATTGCCGAGTCCATCCCTGTGTTCAACTCGCTGCTCGGCCTCATTTGCGCACTGTTCGCCTCGTGGTTCTCGTACGGTCTTCCCGGCATTTTCTGGCTGTGGATGCACTACGGCAACTGGTTCAAGGACGGAAAGCAGACGTGCAAGTTCGTGGCCAATGTTATCCTGTTCCTCACGGGCTTCCTCATCTGCGTGCTTGGTCTGTGGGCGTCTATCGAGTCGATTGCGAATGAGAAGGGCACCAAGCCGTGGACGTGTGCCTCCAACGCCGCGCGATGAGAAGTAGGCATTGTTATTAGTTATCGCAACATCTAATGAATGTAATATGTTAAATATGGACGTTTGAGCCAAACTCAGTCAGTGCTTCACCGTGAGAATATCGTGACAACGCCGGATGCACAACCACGAAGAACGCCACCGAAGCGTTGGGTCATCGCAGGCAAGTATGGGGCGAGTCCCAGTGGTGATCAACGCCACTTGTCTTCACAGTTTCAGACAACCTAACTCGCATCCTTGCCGGAATGGAATGATGTTCCCTCTGTCGTTGACAGCCTGACCAAAACGAATTTGCGGGATGAGAATCACGTGAGTGAATTTTCCACTCGGTGCTCAACAAAGCCCGACTGCCGACATCCGTCTCCACCTTCCTAATCTGCTTACCTCATCTCATCGATGATGTTGGCCACTATCTCAATTGACTCACTCACTACTCAGCATGAAACTACGTTTCAATGGAGCCAATTCTTATCCAAACATTGCAAGACTCATTCAAAAATGGCAGTCACAGAATCAACTCGGGCCCAAGTAGTCGGGGCATTAGCTTGTCAACAGAACTCATATCTTCGCACTCTAGAGGCAGAGGTCATCTCATGTGAAAAGAGACCCCCACCCCCACCAACAAAGAAGACCAGCAAGGACAAATCTGCGGGACCAGTCTCCAACAGCAGCACCGATGAGGTGTGGTTGATCGAATTCGCCGACTCCGTCCTCTTTCCTGAAGGTACCGCACGACTTCAATGAATCTATTGGC